AACATTTACATTTTGCATATGGATACTTCAGTTTTGTAGACATATGTTTTCATTTCTCTTGGGTAAATATCTAAGAGTGGGATTGCTGGGTCATATGATAAGTATATGGAAAACAGTTTGGCAATTTCTTTTAAAGTAAATATACCGTTTTTGCATTCCCACTAACAATATGTGAGATTTCAAGTGGGTCCACATCCTTACCAGCATATGGTGCCATCAGGCTGCTTTATTGTAGCCATTGTGACTGGTATGTAGTGGCATTTCATTGTGCATTTTTCTAATGTCTGAGGATGTTAAGCGTCTTCTTAGGTGCTTATTTGCCATTCCTGTAGCTTCTTTGAAGTATCTGTCAAGTCTTTTACCCATTTTTTAATGTCATGCTTTTCATATATTATGAAATCTGTACCTAAATGAAAGTCACAAACACTCTCTTCTATTTTTCTTCTAGAAGTTTTATTGTTTGAGCTCTTGAATCTAGGTCTGTGATTCATTTTGAGTTAATTTTTATATATGGTGCAAGGTGACAGTAGAGATTTGTTTTTCCCCCCACATAGATATCAAAATAGTCCAACAACATTTATTGAAAAGACTGTCTTTCCTTCCATTTCATTACCTTGGCACCTTTATCAAAAACCAGTTGACGATAGATATATAAATCTATTTCTAGATATTATTATTTTCCATTGACCTGTATGTCTATCCTTATGCCAAATAAGTCTTAATTACTGTAGCTTGATAGTAAGTCTTGAAATCAGTTAGAATTCTCCAACTTTGTTTTTCTTTTTCAGAATTGTTTTGAATATTGTTAGGTCCAATATGTGAGATAATACATGGTGACGAAACAGAATTTATTTCTGTAATATGAGGTTGATTTCAGCATTCAAAAGTCAATATAGTTCACCTTCTCAACAAACTAAAAATGAAAAATCGTGTGATCATCTCCAGAGATGCAGAAAAAGCACTTGGCCAAATTCAACATCCATTCATGATAAAACTGTCAGCAAAATAGAGAAGGGAGCTGCCTCAGTGTAATAAAGAGTATTTACAAAAAGTCTACACTACAGCTGATATCATCATTAATGGTTAAAACTTGAATGCTTCACTCCTAGGATTGAGAACAAGGCAAGGATATCTGCCCCTAGCGTTGACCTAGAGATCCTAGACAGCACAATAAGACAAGGAAAATTTTTAAAAAAGAAACCAACACACAGGTTAGAAATTAAGAAATAATTATTGTCTTTATTTACAGATGACCTTATGGTCTACATAGAAAAAAATCCCAAAGAATCTCCAAAAAAGCTATTACAAATACTATATGAGTTTAGCAGAGTTAGAGAATGTGTGGTCAGGATACAAAAATTGTATTTCTGTTAGTAATGAATAATTGGAAATTGAAATTCACAAAACAAGATTTTACAGTAACATCCAAAAATATGACACACTTAGGGATACATCACACAAACTAGGTGCAAGATTTGTATGCCGAAAACTACAAAGCATCGTTAAGAAAAACTGAAAGAAGACCTGAATAAACAGAGAGATATATCTTGCTAAGAGATCGAAAGATTCTATTGTTGTATGTCAGTTCTCCAAATTAATCTGTACAATTAATCCAGTCTAATCAAGATCCTGGTAGGACCTTAAAAAATATCTTTACAAGAATAAATGGACTAGGATTGGGTCTGTAATGACAAAAGAGAAGGCATAGGGTTTTTTTGTTTGTTTTGTTTTGTTTTTAATAGAAATTGACAAACATTCTAAAATAATTTCAGAAAATTCTCCCACCTCTGGGAGAAAGTGAATGTACAAATCATGTTTTATTTGTTTTATTGTTAGCTAGTAACAATAGCTAGTATTTATTGAGAATAATATTAGGTTATTTGAAAACTTTTTTTGTGGCTCACGCCTGTAATCCCAACACTTTGGGAGGCCAAGGTGGGCACATCACCTGAGGTTGGGAGTTTGAGACCAGCCTGGCCAATATGGCAAAACCCCATCTCTGCTAAATACAAAAATTAACCAAGCCATGGTGGCGCACACCTCTAATCCCAGCTACTTGGTAGGCTGAGGCAGGAGAATCACTTGAACCCAGGATACAGAGCCTGCAGTGAACCAAGTTCTCACCACTGCACTCCAGCGTGGGTGACAGAGTGAGACTGTGTCTCAAAAGAAAAAAAAAACAAACAAAAAAAACACCTTTTTTTGTTGTTGAGACAGGATCTCTATCACCCAGGTTGGAGTGCAGTGGCAGCAATTTCAGCTCACTGCAATGTCTGCCTCTCAGGCTCAAGTGTATTTTAAAACTTTTAATGCGTATTAACTCAATCCTTAAAACATTTCTGTGAGGTACTATTATTGTTCCCATTTACCAGATGATGTAACAGGCATAGAGAGGTTAAGTGACTTAGAACTGAGACTTAAATTCTAAGCTAGGCTCTCTAGGTCCTGTGCTCTTAACCACTACTTTATTTCAATTTATTTTCTTATTTCAATTTATTTTCTAAGCGCTAAACACTGAGCTTTGTTTTGTATAAGGCTGATACTGTGATCTATAAGTATTGCTTCATTTAAGTGGAAATTTAAATATGCAAAGTTCAAAGTCAGTTACTATACCCATTGCTTGCTATGTCTATAAAGGGTGCTGGTGGGATGGTTGGTGAAGGCATGCGGAGTGATTATTAGTCAGGGTTCTCCAGAGAGACTCTAGGAGGGGAAGGAGGAGAGGAGAAAAGGAGATAGAGAGAGAGAAGAGAGAGAGAGAGTTGAGGGAAGATGTATCAGGGCAATTGGCTGACATGACTGTGAAGGCTGAGAATGCCCACAATAGATAGGCCATCAGCAAGCTGGAGAACCAGCGAAGCCAGTAATATGACTGTTGAAGTCCAAAGGCCACAGATCCAGGAAGCCAATTCTCAGTCTAAGGCCAAAGGCCTAAGAGGGGTGAGGAGAAGGGCTGATATGGTGGTACAAATCCCAGAGTCCCAAGTCCAGAGAACCTGGAATTCTTTCTTTTTAAAGGTGAGGTCTTACTATGTTGCCCAGACTGGTCTCAACTCCTGGCCTCAAGCAGTCCTCCTACCTCAGGCTCCCAAGAGCTAGGATCACAGAATTCCAAAGGCAAGAGAAGAAGGGTGTCCCAGCTCAAGGAAAAAGAGAAAGTGAATTTATTTTCCTTTCCTCTGCCTTTTTGTTCTTTCCGTGCCCTCCAGCTGATTGGATGGTGTCCTCCAAGATTGAGGGCGGATCTTCCTCACTCATCCACAGACTGACACACCAGTCTCCTTTGGAAACACACTCGCAGGCACTTCCAGAAATTATGCCTTGCCAGCTATGTAGGTAGCCCTTCGTTCAGTTAGTTTAGTTGACACCTAAAATTAGCCAACACAGTGAGTAATCACATTAGAATTCTATTTGCATGTTTATTTCATATGGCGATTATTTGTTGCCTTTAACAAAGATACTACTTTTTAAAATCGTATTTATGAGAAAAGATTGACTAAAATTTGGTGTATAATGACAAAGGCATACTTTTTGTAATTTATATATGGTATTCATTAGCATAGTGTTATAACTATATTTTCCAAACTAAAAACCAGAAGTTGTACGCCTTTTTGTGTGTGTCAGGAGACAGCCTGTGAAGTACATTAAGACTTTGAAAATTTGGAATTTCCAGGGCATGAAATGACTTTTTAGTCTGGCATTAGAATCATATTTGGAGCCTTTAAAGAACTACCAATTTGTGTCCCTCTTTTCGTTCTGATTCAGGAAGCTCTCTATAGGTAGGTCTGATGTGCACCTTACTTGAGATCCACTAATTAATGGAAATAGTTGGATAGGATATCCAGGATTTGGACCATCTAAAAAAACCCAGACTAAAATCCAGGGCACTGTGTTTCATAAAGGTAGAATTTCTCATAAATGGTTATCAGAACAACAGACTCTGAAATTGTAACTTACCCAAGTACTTCTCCCTCTCTTCATTTTCTTTTCTATATGGTGTCTATCTGGTCACACTTAGTTGTACCACAGCTCAGAAATTCTGTCGACTATGTATACAGCTACTCCACTTACGGCCCCTTTATACAATATAGACTTTAAAGTTATTATGGGACAGTTTCTTAAATTGTTGGAACATTACATCTATGCATTTCCTGTCCCACCCCTATAATGTTTTTTCTTGTTACTGGTTATTGAAGTTTTCAGAGGTAACAGATAGCTCGGGTTTCCAGATGAGAATTATAAGGAGTCTTTTATATCAGACTGAAAGAGAATGAAAGAACAGCCTTGGAAAAGTAAAATTACTAGTGTCTCCTCCTCCCTTAAGAACCAGAAGAAGTTTGAAGTGAAAAGGCTTAAAGATTATCTAGTGTGGGTTCCAGTTTTACTATAAGTAAAATTAAGCTGAGAAAGGAGGATTGACTTGCCCAAGAGGGCACAAGTATTTTATAGAGAAATAGATTAAAATTCAAATAATTGTATAGTTAAAAAAAAGAAATAGGACTCTTTTCATAATTTAAAGTTTGAATTAAGCTGTTTTACAGTAAATGTTTTTATTTTCTGAGCTTTCAAAAATGTATAAATGTTACTCTTATTATTACTGTCCTTGAAAATAGAAAGAGCCCAAATAATATTAGTCATAGTTTAAAAGAAAGAAAACCTTGATCCAGTATCTTAGAGTTATAAAAGAAAAAGGGTCTACCATCAGTTGAATATGTCAACATATTAGAGAAATGTCTCTCATATTGCTGCAGGTTTTTGTCCCCTGCGTGAGAAGTAGGAAATTTATAGGAAGTATAGTCATTCTACAGATAAACAATTGTTTTCCATCCTTTGCTTATAGAATTAAAAGCCATATGGTAGTTTTTATCTGTTCCATTAATTGGGAAATAATTGAGCAGATTTGTTTAAGTTTTTTATTCTTTATAGTAATGTTCCAGTAATGTATCTTTAATAAACTTTACTCTGTTTGTTTGCTTTTTTTCTTCTTGAATGAATATCAGTTAAAGAGAAGTTGACTGCGGATCCGGACAGTGAAATAGCTACAACCAGCCTAAGGGTTTCTCTACTGTGTCCAGTAAGTGTTAACTATTACTTGCTTTCCAGAAAGTTTAACATACATTTTCTTTTTTTATTAAGTATTTTTACTATTTGAGAAATTCTGTTTACTTCTGAAATATGTTCACCACTGTTACAGTTTATGAAAAGTGGAAAGACATCTAGGCATTGCATTTGGAATCTAAACAAGTCTTTAAAAATGATCTACTCTTAGTAAGACGTATCTAAATATGGCCTGTGATTAATGACCATCTCTCAGGCTCAATCGTAAAATCTCCAAATAATAAATGTTTATTGTCTCAGTGTATTTATAAAAATTTTACATTTATTTATTTATTTATATTATTATTATTATTTTTTTGAGATGGAGTTTCACTCTTGTTGCCCAGACTGGAGTACAGTGGCGCCATCTCGGCTCACCACAACCTCCACCTCCCGGGTTCAGGCGATTCTTCTGCCTCAGCCTCCCGAGTAGCTGGGATTATAGGCATGTGCCACCACGCCTGGCTAATTTTGTATTTTTAGTAGAGACAGGGTTTCTCCATGTTGGTCAGGCTGGTCTCGAACTCCCAACCTCAGGTGATCCACCCTCCTCGGACTCCCAAAATGCTGGGACTACAGGCGTGAGCCACCATGCCTGGCTAAAAATTTTACTTAAGATAGTACCTTTCTGAGTAAAAATCTAGCCGTGATTACTCACACATCTCATTTAACCGTTTTGCCAACAATGACCACATTATAACAGTTCACCAATTAGAAACTTCTGTTCAGCCTAAATAGCTGAATTTGTTATACATATAAAAAAGCCTTGAGATATTTTAAGCCGGAAAATGAGGTCGGAATCAATAATTTTCATGAAATAAATATATGGTCCCAAGACTTAACCAAATTATTAAACCTGTAAGGGAAAAGGTCTCAAAAACATGTTAAACTAATTTGATGTTAGGCTTATTGGTAGGGATGGTGGTTGAATATGGCCATATGGAAATATGTGAAAAATTAATCATAAATTACCTTGACATTTTGATTACTTTCTGTTCTATAATAATCAAACTAATCATATTTAAATTGGGGAGAAAGAATGAAAGGACACATCTGTTTCCTGCTTTGCCTGATTGTTCAGACAGGCCTGATATTGAAAGCAGTTGATACTGAGATCCTACTAATATCAGATGATGATGAAGTTACTGTATTCTTAAAGAAACAAAGAATTTAAATAGAAATTAAATGTTACTTGTAGTTACAAATTTTTTTTGTAATTTATGAAACTTCAAACATAATATGAAAAAATTAGTAGATCATGAATTAGTTTCTGTAAGTTATAGAAAAAAATACAATGAAGTTAATTAAAATCACCAAATTCTATCATTGTGTGTATATCCTTCTATTCCTGTAACGTTTATTTTTATTCCTTTTTATAATAAAGCCAATTTTTTTCTTGCGAAAAATATTTTGACTCCAGGCTTTTTATATTAGTGTTAAAAATTCTTTAAGTAACCAGGTAAATGTTACAACAGCCTAGGTTGTAAAGGAGACTGGTGTGGGGGGGGTTGTGTGTGTGTGTGTGTTATGTGTATGTGTGTGTTTCATGCTTAGAAAAATGGTTCACACACTGAGGAAGTAGAGGGTGAGAAAAAGACAAAAAATGTTTTTAAAAGAAAAAGGTAAAAAGATGTATACTTATTCTACCCTCTTTCTCCAAAACCCTGATTTATCCATTCCCCCTCCATTGTTCTTTGCCGCCTCATTTTGTTGTAAAACACCAATTCAGAAAATACAATAAGTTTAGAAAAGTACATACACTTCTTTTTCTATTTAAATCACTGGAAAGAGTAGTGTTTTTCTGCAGTCTCACTTAAAAGTGTTTATAGTTGTACTAATATATACATGAGGCTTTATGTTTAACACACATATGAAGCATTTATTCGTATAAATAAGCACTCCAATATAAATCTTAAAAGTTTTATTTGTGGAACTATGTTTTAATTCTGTAGTTCAGGTGCTCATCTCTATATTATTAGAAACTATTAATCACATTTTGCTCTTTGCACCTTTATTTATTTTTCTTTTTTTGAGACAGGGTTTCACTTTGTCACCCAGGCTGGAGTGCAGTGCTGCCATCTCAGGTCACTGCAGCCTCCACCTCCCAGGTTCAAGCAATGCTCCTGCATCAACCCTTCAAGCAGCTGGGACTACCGGCATGTGCCACCACACCCGGCTAATTTTTGTATTTTTTTGTAGAGACAGGGTCTTCATATGTTGCCCAGGCTGGTTGTGGACTTCTGGCCTCAAGCAATCCTCCTGCCTTGGCCTCCCTTGAGATTACAGGCGTGAGTCACCACGTCCAGCCAGCAGTTCATTTTAAATTGACATCTGCTTTAAAAATTCAGAGTATAAAACAAAACAACTATATGTGTATATTGTGTATATGTTTGTATGTATGTGTAAAATATATAATTATAATACTTTCATGGGTTTCTATTTGGCTAAAGGGATAATCCCTCACAGTTATTCTGAAATAGTAAGATCATACATTTTAGGTATGTTTTTACTCAAAAATAAAATTTAGTAATATCTATATATCAAATTTATAGGATAATAAAGGAGATTTGCTCTCTTTGAAATATGTACATATGATGTCTTACTGTGCATTACAATTGCCCTTATTGTGATGTACAGAGCTCCAAATAAATGAGTTTCTGTTGTTTCTGTGCCATTTAGCTAAAGGCAACAAAAATAATTAAAAATGTTTTTACTCTTTGGGAATTTTATGGTTCTGATTTATTAAAAATAGAGGTGGAGGAATCTTTGAAAAACTGCTTTGTAAACCCAAATACAAATGACTTGGAATTGATAGAAGAAGATAAACTCTGGAAATGTATTTATGAAATATTATTGTGAAAAAAACTTGTGAAATTATTCTTTTTCTTTTTTTTTTTTTTTTCCCCCCCAGAGACAGAGTTTTGCTCTGTGAGTACAGTGACCGAGATCTGGCTGCACTTCAATACTCCAGCCTCCTCAAGGGTTCAAGTGGATTTCCCCTGCCTCAAGCTCCTAAGTAGCTGGAGCTACAAGTTGAGGCCACAACGCCCGGCTAATTTTTTATTTTTAGTAGAGATAGGATTTCACCATGTTGGCCAGGCTAGTCTCAAACTCCTGACCTCAAGTGATCCGCCTGCCTCAGCCTCCCAAAGTGCCGGGATTACAGGTGTGAGCCACTGTGCCCAGCCGAAATTGTTTTTAATGTCACACTTTTTCCTTTTGCAAGGAGAAAGCACTTTTTATTGACATTTTTAGGGCTTTTAAAAAATATAAGTTGGTTAAAACTTGTATCTAGAATGTTTTCTCTTGCAGCATCATCAGTTACTAATATAGATAGCACTATTATTGTAAAGTTAGTGGCATTAGAAAACACATTTGGGAGTTAAAGTGTTTATATGCAAATAATTCAAACATAATTTATGTCCTATAAAGGGAATGGAAGAATTTGTAATCACAAGATGAAGACGTTCAAAGTTCAGCTTCTCTCCTTATACCAAGTTAGAGAAAATCGATATCTGTTTTTCAGATAATTATTTAGAATTTAGTGATTTTTTAAAAAATCACGAATATAAGAATTATCACATAATAGTTATTTTATTATTCTAAGGCATTTATGTGACAGCTAATGATGCATTTGAAAGTGAGCTTTTGCTTTTATGTACCCTTTTATGTCTTCCTTGCACCATTTCTGTGTCAGCGTTCCTTAAAAACTCTGTAGGTCACCTTGTCAGTATAGCTGAAGATAAAGGCTTGAGAGTTGCTCTCTTGCCTACAAGATATGAACTGACAGCTGGAGATCATGGGGTAAAGGTATGTGAGATGAAGGCCTTTGGAAAACAGCTGCTTTTCAGAGTATAAATTTCTTTTTTTTTTTTTTGAGACGGAGTCTCGCCCTGTTGCCCAGGTAGGAGTGCAGTGGTGCGATCTGGGCTCACTGCAAGCTCCGCCTCCTGGGTTCATGCCATTCTCCTGCTTCAGCCTCCCAGTGGCTGGGATTACAGGCACTCGCCACCACGCCCAGCTAATTTTTTGTATTTTTAGTAGAGACGGGGTTTCACCGTGTTAGCCAGGATGGTCTCGATCTCCTGACCTTGTAATCCACCCACCTCGGCCTCCCAAAGTGCTGGAATTACAGGCGTGAGCCACCGTGCCCGGCCCAGAGTATAAATTTCATTGCCTATGGCTTGGATTCTGAAATAATCTTTATTTCTTACCATCTTATCCATTTTCATAAACAATCAGAAGTAGTCTGGTAGTTCTACAGTTCATAAACCTTGTGTACTATTACTGTATTTGTCTAGAATTTTTAGTCTGTGGTTTTTCTACTTAGTATTAAGGCAATAGCAAAAGTACCTTATAAAATAGGAATTTGTATTTCATAGATAAGTTAAGGTCTGACATAAGATATAAATATGTAACTTGGCATCACCAACCAGATTGCTATTTGGAAAATGTTTCTGAACTAACGCCACATGGTATCTTGCCTAATGGTAATTTTTCCGTTATAACTACTTTGTTCTTTTTGGCCTTTTTATCAGGTGCTTATGTAAATCAAATCATAAAAAATTGGTGGGACGGGTGGCTCACGCCTTTAATGCCAGCACTTTGGGAGGCCAGGGTGTGCAGAGCACTTGAGGCCAGGAGTTTGAGACCAGTGTGGCCAATATGGCGAAACCCCGTCTCTACTCAAAATGCAAAAATTAGTGAGGCATGGTGGCACCTGCCTGTAATCCCAGCTACTTGGGAGGCTGAGGCAGGAGAATTGCTTGGGAGACTCTTGCTCAAAAAATAAAAAAATTAAAATTGAGTAGAAGTGCAGTAAGGGAGTCTGGTGAAGCTGTTTAATACTTTGTGAGCCCACAATAAAAGAATTACTAAGCTGAGGTTTGGGTGGGTTTCCTAGTGTACAAAGTGATTTAAAGCAAATATGTTAATTAATACTATTTTTGTTTATTGAAAACTTACTATGTGTCACGCACTGTGCAGTAAACGTAATTGAATCCCCACAATCATTTTGTGTAGATCCCATTTTTATCCCCATTTTATAAAACTGAGCCTCTGAGTGATTAAATAAAATAACATTCAGGATTCACACAGTAGGTACGTAGTGGGGCCAGGATTCATTCTAACACCAGAATTCATACTCAGGCTGCACTATAAATTACTGAGTACGACCTGCATACCTTCCATGAGTGGTGCCTCCTGGAATTGCCCATCATGCACAACTGAAGCTTTATCAGTGCACAGGACTGTCTTACTGCTGTATATTTCCAAGTATGGGGACAAGGAAATTAGTCCAACCTGTTTCTGGTAGGAGGAGACACACGTATAAATAAGTAACATACAGTTGTGCATGCCTTAATGATGGGGATACCTTTTGAGAAATGCATTATTAGGGGATTTTGTTGTTATTCAACAAAAGCAACATAGGTGTGTTATTCAACAAAAGCATCATAGGTGGTGGTGTTCAACAAAAGCATCATAGGTGTGCTTACACAAACCTAGATGGTATAGCTTACTGCGTACCTTGGGACTATTGCTCCTAGGCTGCAAAACTGTAGAGCATGTTACAAAACTGAATACTGTAGGCAGTTGTAACACAATGCTAAGTATCTGTGTACCTAAACATAGAAAAGGTACAGTAAAAAGTATAAAAGATGAAAACTGGTACACCTGTATGGGGCACTTACTATGAATGGAGCTTACAGGACTGGAAGTTGCTCCAAATAAGTCCGTGAGTGGTGAGCAATTGTGAAGGTTTAGGACATCACTTACATGACTGTAGACTTTATAAACACTGTACACTGCAGCTACAATAAATTTAAAATATTTTTCTTTCTTCAACAATAAACCTTAGCTTACTGTAACTTTGATTTTTGTTTTTTGTTTTTGAGACAGAGTCTCCCTGTGTCGCCCAGGCTGGAGTGCAGTAGTGTGATCTCAGCTCACAGCAACCTCTGCCTCCCAGGCTCAAGTGATTCTCCTGCCTCAGCCTCCCAAGTAACTGGGATCCCAGATGTATGCCACCATGCCTGGCTTATTTTTGTATTTTTAGTAGAGACGGAGTTGTGCCACGTCAGCCAGGCTGGTCTCAAACTCCTGATCTCAGGTGATCCTACCTCCTCGGCCTCCCAAAGTGCTGGGGTTACTGGCGTGAGCCACTGCACCCGGCCACTGTAACTTTTTTATTTTATAAGCTTTTTAATTTTTTAACTTTTGACTCTTGTATTAACACTTAGCTTAAAACACAAGCACGTTGTACAACTGTACAAAAATATTTTCTTTCTTTATATCCTTATTCTATAAGCTTTTTCTATTTTTAACATTTTTTTACTTTTGTTTTCTACTTTTTAAACTTTTTTGTTAAAAACTAAGACACACATTAGCCTAGGCCTACCCAGGGTCAGGATCATCAGTATCACTACCTTCCACCTCCATGTCTTGTCCCACTGGAAAGTCTTCAGTGGCAGTAACAGACATGAAGCTGTTCTCTCCTACCCGCCTGAGGCTGTTTTACAGTTAACTTTTAAAATATATATAAGTAAAGGGAGTACACTCCAAAATAATGATAAAAAGTATAGTAAATCAGAAACCAGTAACATGGTTGTCTGTTATCAGGTATTATGTACTGTACATAATTTGAAGACCTCCATCATATATGTGGTTCACTGTTGACCAAAATGTTATGTGGTGCTTGATTATAATCATATGCAGGAGTATAGAGTTGGGAGTACACAGAAGGGAGTTAACCAGTTTTTACTCTAGGTCTCTCCAGGTTATACTTCTGATACTATAAACTGGCATTGCTCTATTCTCAGTAAGTTTATAACATGTTCAGGGTTCTATGTTTATTCATCATGGCTACATCTGGTTGAAGTAAGGAGGAAACAGTGTTACCTTAGAGAAAGTAAAAGGGACCCAGAAAGGTTAAATGCCTTTCTTAGAGACACAGTAAATCATTGGTATCAAAGCAATTATTTTGGGCACCAAATGACAGTTAATTCCCTGGTAGACTAGGAAATTGCACATTTCCCTGAAATTGATCTAAGCCAAGAATCTTTTCCTCATTTAACTCATATTCTTTTCAAGCCTTTATATTTTTCTTTTATATATATACATATATATATATAAAATACTTTAAGTTCTAGGGCACATGTGCACAATGTGCGGGTTTGTTACATAGGTATACATGTGCCATGTTGGTTTGCTGCACCCATTAACTCGTCATTTGCATTAGGTATTTCTCCTAATGCTATCCCGCCCCCCTGCCCATCACTCCACGACAGGCCCTGGTGTGTGATATTCCCCTTCCTGTGTCCAAGTGTTCTCATTGTTCAGTTCCCACCTATGAGTGAGAACCTGCGGTGTTTGGTTTTCTGTCCTTGTGATAATTTGCTCAGAATGATGGTTTCCAGCTTCATCCATGTCCCTGCAAAGGATATGAACTCATCTTTTTTTATGACTGCATAGTATTCCATGGTGTATATGTGCCACATTTTCTTAATCCAGTCTATCATTGATGGGCATTTGGGTTGGTTTCAAGTCTTTGCTATTGTGAATAGTGTCGTAATAAACATATGTGTGCAGTGTGTCTTTATAAGTAGCGTGATTTATAATCCTTTGGGTATATACCCCGTAATGGGATGGCTGGGTCAAATGGTATTTCTAGTTCCAGATCCTTGAGGAATTGCCACACTGTCTTCCACAATGGTTGAACTAGTTTACACTCCCACCAACAGTGTAAAAGCATTCCTATTTCTCCACATCCTCTCCAGCACAAGCCTTTGTATTTTTCAAGTTCACAAATCTTTTCCTGGTACTTGGCAAATAATGTGGTTATTGAAAGTAGATAACTTATCTACTATATGGCCATTGTGCGATCTGGGGACTCTACAGTGGTACAAGCTGGCTTCTGGGGAATGAGATAGTGATATGGTAGCTCCCTGTGCAGGTTTCTGGGCGGCTTCTCTGCCTTGGGCTAAAGCTAGCAGCTCAGGGACCAGATGAAGCAGATTTCCTCTTCCTGAATAGACTCACCACATGTCAGCTGAAGCAATATTTGCAGGGCAACAAGTCTTCTAACATCCTGGAGATGCTAGAGGTCCAGGGCTGTAGGCTGAATTGCTCATGATGGTTCCCAGTGAGGAAGCAATGCAGAGTGTGTGCACCTGCCTTCCTCCTCAGAGCTGCCACTTGGCAGTTATGCCAAGCATCATGGGGAATGATCACTATTGATTCAGTTTTGTCCTGTGAACTGCTCTTATTCATAGGTAAGACTGATAGCAAATATCAATGGATTTCTGTATTGTGCAGTATTTAATAAGACATTCTCTATTTTCCCTAATCCCTAGTTCGGTGGTTCTTAAATTTTTTTTTTTTTTTGGATCAAGGACTGCTTTAAGAATTTGAGAAAAGCTGGGCACAGTAGTGTGTGCCTGTATTGCCAGATACTCTGGAGGCTGAGGCAGGAGGATTGCTTGTGCCCAGGAGTTTGAGGCTGTAGAGTGCTACGATTGTGCCTGTGAATAGAGTTGGCACTTCAGCCTGGGCAACATAGCAAGACCCCATCTCTTTTTAAAAAAAAAACTGGTGAAAGCACTCTCTCCAGAAAAATGCACACACGAAATTTTGAGTATAATTCAAGTGGTTATGACCCTCTCCACCAAAAGCTGATCTGTGAGCTGTGGATTTTAGTAAATAACCCTTGTAGACTTTCCATAGTCATTTTGTTTGATAGCCAAATAAATGCTGTAATTTTTAAACCTATGGATATTTCACAGGAAATGTATTTAATGTTCTCCTACATTGATGAAAAGTAAACACAGTATGCTTTAAATCAGCATGCCTACCTGTTGTGTTCTAGGAAATTTTTGTCAAAGCTTAAATGTTGAATAGCAATTACCTAATATTTACTTTTTCTCCCTTTTTAAAGCTTGGTAAAATGCGGCTGACAATTCCGTGTCGGGCCCTTACATGTTCTCATCTACAGTGTTTTGACGCAACTCTTTACATTCAGATGAATGAGAAAAAACCAACCTGGGTTTGTCCTGTCTGTGATAAGAAGGCTCCATATGAACACCTTATTATTGATGGGTATGTTACTTTAAGTGTTTTTGGTACCTTGAAATGACCATATATTATCTGGGTTTGTTACACATCAGATTTGGGATGAAAATTCTAAGTTATGTATTTGTAGGATTTTTGTGAATCTGCAAACCAATATTTTCAAAGTAATTTATTTCAAATTAGTGTTATGAATATTTTATCTTTTTAACTCGATGTTCCCTTGTTTTGAAAATACGTGTGTTACTGTCAGTGCCTCCTGGCATTTGTCGTTTAAAGCACTAGTGGTTTTAAGCAGGGTGTGCTTATACCTTTTCTTTTTCCTGTCATTAGTCCATCCATCCCTAGATATGCAGACCATATTGGAAAAAGAATGTATGGGGAAATTTGGGTTAACTCAGGTTCATCCAAAATTGGGCTTTTCAATAGAAGTTAACCTGTTTGTGGAGATTAGATCCAGCTTCAGTCATAGTCTTCTTTTTCTTTTTTGTCTTGTCCACCTATGGCATCACAATAACCAATTGCTTTTGACACCCCTTTGTTTTATCTGTCCTACCAGACATCTTGGAATGTTCCTCTAAATGTTCTCCTCTTCTGCAGCCTCCTTTTTCCCCCCCTTTTGCCACTAAACAAAAACTATTGTGAAAAGGAGGAATCTACTTGATTTTGCGGGGGGTGGGGGGGCAAAGACAGAGTCTTGCCATTTTGCCCAGGCTGATCTTGAATCCTGGGCTCAAGTGATCCTCCTGACTTGGCCTCCCAAAGTGCTGAGATTACAGGCGTGTGAGCCACCGCACCCGGCCTGTACTTAATATTTCCTGTACTTTCTAGCAAAAGACTTAAGGCAACTTACCTATAGTATTTAAGAAAACATAGGAGCATAAAGGTGGTAATATCAGAAATTGAGTATATTTAGCAATACAAGTATAACCTGGAGCTTGAAAGATGTCAGACCAGTCATGGGGAAAAAAAAAAGAAAAACATGTAACTTAAATGTTTTATGTTTAATTTTTCAGAAATGATGGTGATCACTTAGTAGTAAATCAGAATTAAATAGTAATATTTTCCAACTTTATATGTAACATAGCTTTAGGTTCTCCCATTTCTTGTTATAAAAGCCATGTACACACATACTGTTTTAAAGAAAAATTGCAAAACACAGGAAAATGAAAAGCTTTTTCGGGTGTATAATTTTCCAATTTTCGTCTTTCCATAGTTGTGATTGTACACTGTTAATAATTTTTATCCTTTGGTTTCATTTAACATTGTAACCTAAGAATTTGGCCATAGTTAATTTTATGCATTCTTTATACATGTTTTTAAATGTCTGTTACAATATTTTATTAAAGAGATTTAACCTTTGATTACATGTTTGTGTATGTATTGCTTCAGTTTATCAAATAAGACATGCTTATTGTAGGCAATTTAGAATATGCAAAAACGTATAAAGAAGAAAAATAAATACCCATGAAGGTACCACTCAGAGGTAACTACTTATCTATATACTACTCACACATAATTTTATTTTTGAAATTAAGCTTTCTTTTGTTGACCTTTTCTCACTTTTTGTCAACATTTTCCCATATGATTAAAAATCTTTGAAAATGTCATTTTTCGTGGTCACATATTTTCTTACATAAATGTGACATAAATTAGGCAGCTATATTCCTATTTAACACTAGATTTTAAGAATAAATATAACTTAAGTTGTTCAACTTTTATTTTCATTTAAAATATGATATTTTAAGGATGAATTGTTTTCTTATAGCTTGTTTATGGAAATCCTAAAGTACTGTACAGACTGTGATGAAATACAATTTAAGGAGGATGGCACTTGGGCACCGATGAGATCGAAAAAGGAAGTACAAGAAGTTTCTGCCTCTTACAATGGAGTCGATGGTGAGTAGTTCTTCACAAGGAAGGGGCAGTCTCCCTACTGCTGTAAGTCTGGTTTTCAATATTAAAATCCATATATTTTTAAACAACACTGAGCAGTTTGTGGATAGCTTAATGATTCCTATTAACTTATTGATAGAAATCCTTTTAAATTCACTTTTTTGCCAGCTTTAAAAAATTTTCTGATATAAGATTTCAAAGTAATGTAATATAATTAGTCATTGGTAAAGTCATACTTTTGAAACTGTACCCTTTTTAAATTTTTAACAGATTTGGTACAGAGTAGTAAAGGTTCAGTTTTCATTTATTTATTTTTTCCTGGCTTTTAGTATGTTTTTGCTGGAAAGTGAGTTTTGAAAATGCTATCATCGTATTTCTTAAGTATGTCAGATACTATGCAGACAAAAATTAATATACAGTCTGTGCTTTCAAATTACTTTTCTTCTGAAGTGGACATAAGATACATTTTGATTGTTCGCTCTAATTCAGTAATTTATTATTATTTTGAAAAATAATTTACTATTATTAAATAATAGTTTTAAACTTAGTAGAACAGAGCCACTGTTGGTTTTCTACTCTCTGGCTCCAACAATATTGTGAATCTAAACTGTAACTGATAAACTGTAGGGACACTGAGAAAAGAGAGATGTCATAACTCTTCCCTTGCCTTGTATTTTAATCATTCCCATATAGGATGCTTGAGCTCCACATTGGAGCATCAAGTAGCTTCTCACCACCCGTCCTCAAATAAAAACAAGAAAGTAGAAGTGATTGACCTAACCATAGACAGTTCATCTGATGAAGAGGAAGAAGAGCCATCTGCCAAGAGGACCTGTCCTTCCCTTTCTCCCACATCACCACTAAATAATAAAGGGTAAGTGCTGAGACATTAAAAAAAAGTAATCATGAAAATTAACTTGGCAAATAGGGATTAAAGACTTGCCAAATAAAATGATTCTTGATTGTGAAACTTAACTTAGCAATCAAAGAATAGTTTGAATTTTTCCCAGGTTTATAATACTCTGGAGGGATTCGGGTAGTGCACTAAAAGGTTACTTGGATATAGTATTCTTTATTATCAAAAGATGATTCTAGTACTGTGGTTCTCAAACTGGTGTACATACATCAGAATTACCTGAGAGCTTATTAAAATGCACACATTGCTCCCCTGCGTCTGAGTCAGGAGGAGAGACTAAGAAAATTTGTCTTTCTAGGCTAGGCGTGGTATCTCACGCCTGTAATCCTAGGACTTTGGGAGGCTGAGGCAGGTGGATTATCCGAGCTCAGGAGTTTGAGACCAGCCTGGGCAACATGGTGAAACCTCGTCTCTACTAAAATACAAAAATTAGCCAAGCGTGGTGGCGTGTGCCTGTAATCTCAGCTACTCTGGAGGCTGAGGCCGGAGAATTGCTTGAACCCAGGAGGTGGAGGTTGCAGTGAGCCAAGATCTTACCATTGCACTCCAGCCTGGGCAACAGAGTGAGACTGTCTCAAAAAAAAGAAAAAAAGAAAATTCGTATTTCTAGTAAGTTCCCAGGTGATCCTGCTCCTGCTCGCAGGATGTAGAACATTTGTTCAAACTGGAATGTATGCTCTAAAATTTACCCCAAGTTGAATGTTTCAGGTGGAAAGCAGAGGAAGACCGATGATTTAAATCTGCCTCAGAATGTGAATGAGGCTGGCAGTGAATGACTTCTGTTGCAGTACACATTTCCCACTTTGCAGACTTTTCTCCCATATTTTCCGTTAGTCTTATATCAATAACAGTGTACCTAGGTTATGCTTCAGTTCATGAAACATTGTTATCTACTTTGTATAAAACACCCTCAGCTAAGCATGGATGATAATAAAATGAGTAAGTACAGCCTTAACCTTAAAGAGCTTAGCACTTTCTGGGGGGTGGTAAAAGAAGTAGCAGACTCCAACTGTACTCCCAAAACAGGCTGTTAGTCCTGTAGACACATCAGGGATTCTGAGCAAGATTTCTAATTGTGCTAAAGCACAATTGTGGCACACTAATTGTAAATCTAGAAATAGATGTGTCGCTTTTTAGGTATAAAGCAGGAGAACCACATGGCCTGTTGTAACTGAATAGAAGCTAACCAGAAACCCTTCCAGCAAGCAGTAGGGACTAAAGAAAGAATGTAAGAGAGAGAAGGGAAGTCCATAGATGGCATTATTACAACACCAGATCAAGAGCAGGCATTTCTGTGCCTGGAGTCAAATCATTTTCAGGTTTGACAATGTATAATGAGATTAAAGATTTCAATGAGTTCGAGACCAGCCTGGGCAACATGGTAAAACCCTGTCTGTACCAAAAAAATTAGCTAGGTGTGGTGCTCTGTGCCTGTTGTCCCAACTACTTGGATGGCTGAGGTGGGAGGATCACTTGAAGCTGGGAGGTGGAAGTTGCGGTGAGCTAAGATCATGCCCTGCACTCCCAACCTGGGTGACAAAATGAGACCCCATCTCAAAAAAAATAAGATTTCAATCAAACATATTTCACACATTGGTATTTTCATTCTAGAGTAGTCTGTCTTGGCATAGGGAGAGAAACAAAGACATTAAAAACAGTATCATCATTCTAAACAAAGTAAATAATTTAAACACAAATCCTACTCTTATGAACATGACCTCTGATAAAAGCCTACCTTGATGGCTGTAACCCAGCGAGCCTGACCTTGTTATTACACCAATGTATTTTGTGTCTGAGTAGGAGAAAAGGAAAAGTCAGATTACCTAAAGTTAGAACAAGTATCTATAGAATTTCAATTCCAAGATATTTTATAAATGTCAAACCATAGTATGACCAAATACACATTGTCATGTGATTTTTTTAAGTGTCATAATCACAATGTTAAAAGATATTTCATAAACCTCTGGATGTATAAATACTTTTGGGCTAAATGCATCGTCATATATATATTAGTTCTATTCTTTAGACTATTAATAGTAGTCATATGTATTTATGTAAACTATTCAATAGTATTAGTGACTATGTATTTTTTCTTTAAAGAAGACGTTTGAGTGTTTAGGAATCTAGTATTTCTTCTTTGGATATTTACTTTGCTCTTTCTCCAAAGACATTTGGAGAGAATTAAATACTGTTTATTATGTTTGGAAAATAACATTAGATGCATTAACTACTTCCTGAATTTCCCAGTGACTAATTGAACCCAGATATAGTATTTGCAAATGCCAGACATTTCTCTATTTGCAGATAAAAACAAGAAATTTGAAAGTTTACATCCTTAGAAGGAGAATAATAACGTAGTCAACACTAGTAGCTATTTTATAATAATGACTAATTGGTAACTGGAAACCTCAGTCCAGCATATTGTGTTTGTTATTGTGCAGTATAAAGGTTGAAATGCATTTCAAAACATTATTACAAATTGAAAGAAAAGCATGCAGCCAGGAATTACAGGCAAAAACTAAATGTAAAACATTTTGTTGTCTTTAGCCACTGAATGCTTAATGTTCATCCAGAAATTGTCTGTGCTGTTTGAGATGTTTTCAAAGACTAGCATTTTAAATCCTCTCGTAATCTCTTAGACATTGTGAGAGAACTCAGCTAATGGTAAATGGTACTTTTTCTAGATATAAGAGGTTTAACCAAGTTTCCATTAGATGAAACATTTTTATGAGGCAGACGAGAGTGTGTTTTATGCTTCATATCCCATTCATTAAAATGTCGTAGATGGTCATAACTGGAACTCTATTCCTAGAAATGCAACCTTGGCATCCTTTGAAATGTTCTTTTTTTGAGACAGAGTTTCACTCTTGTTGCCCAGGCTGGAGTGCAATGGCGCCATCTCGGCTCACCGCAACCTCCACCTCCTGGGTTCGAGTGATTCTCCTGCCGCAGCCTCCTGAGTAGCTGGGATTACAGGCATGGGCCACCATGCCCAGCTAATTTTTTGTATTTTTTAGTAGAGATGGGGTTTCTCCCTGTTGATGAGGCTGGTCTCAAACTCCCAACTTCAGGTGATCCACCTGCCTCGGCCTCCCAAAGTGCTGGGATTACAGGCATGAGCCACCGTGCCCGGCCCTCTTTTGAAATATTCTATATCACTGAAATTGTATCCCCATGCCCCAGGTACTTTACATGAAGCATTAAAAGCAGAAGACAGCCGCTTTATTGCTTCCTTTCTCTTTATTTTCTATAACACATATACCTTCAGTCTCTTGTATTGGTGGGGTAACGTATAACCCTTATGTTTCCTTCCAAGAGGGCTACTATAATTCTTTTTCTTTTCGAAATTAGTTTTGTTTTTGTTTTTGTTTTGTTTTGAGACAGGCTTTTGCTCTGTCGCCCAGGCTTGAGTGCAGTGGTGCAATCACGGCACATGCAGCCTCGACCTCCCGGGCTCAAGCAATCCTCTCACCTGTCTCCCAAGTAGCTGGGACTACAGATACATGCCACCAGGCCTAGCTAAGTTTTTTTAAGTTTTCGTAGAGACAGGGTCTCCCTATGTTGCCCAGTCTGGGCAACCTCTGGGCTGAAACTATCCTTCTGCCTCTGCATCCCAAAAGTATGGGGATTACAGGAATGAGCCACCATGCCTGGCCCCAAAATTAGTTAAATTATTATTTTTTCCTTCTCCTTTTTGCCTTTCCCTTTAGTTTTAATAAATTTTTTTTAAAAAGCTACTCAGTTATTTAAACTTTTCACTGTTTTTTAGAGTCCTAATTCTTGTTTTATGTTTTCTTTTTCCAGTTACAGTATTCTCCCTTTAAAAACTCTCCACCACCTATTCATTTTGGAGTATTTTCTTTTTTTTTTTTTTTTTTGAGAAGATATCCTCAACCCTCTGTTGCCCAGGCTGAGTGCCAATGCGCCATCTCGACTCACATGCAACCTCCACCTCCCGGATTCAAGTGATCTCCTCCGCCTCAGCCTCCAAGTAGCTGGGACTACAGGCGTGCACCACCATGCCTGGCTAATTTTTTTATTTTTAGTAGAGGATGAGGTTTCACCAATGCCTGCGCCAGGCCTGGTCTCGAACTCCTGACCTTGTGATCCACCCTCCTCAGCCTCCCAAAGTGCTGGGATTACAGGCGTGAGCTACTGCACCCGGCCTCATTTTGGAGTATTTCTTCTTGTTTCACTACATTCATTAGATTCAGCAGGGCTTTTATGCAAACAACATGCTGATAACTCTACTGGGCATTGGGTATACTAAACAATACCCAGTTTTTATTCTCCTGAAGACTACAATCCAACTCCAAACCACTCAGATTGCTTCATTCCCTCTTTCTTATTATATGTATTTTCTTTGCTAGGGCATACGTATACTTCTTACTAGCCAATACTTCAGTGTTGTTTTAAAAGGGTTTCCGAATTTCATTTGATGTAGGTATCTTTCACTCATATCCTGGTAAAGTGGCTCAACTGTACCTTTCTCTTGCATTCTGAAAGCATAGGTGATGATATTCCAAAGGCAATGTGAGGTTTGTGAATGTTGGATACCATTGCATCTGTCCATTTCTTCCTATGGCCTCTGTTAAATGCTATTATGTATACAAATTATTTTCTCATAATTGTGTATAATCTAAATTATACATTACTTTGCTTGGTTTTGTTCTTATTTCCAGCGCAAAACCTAGGGTTCGTTGTGAGATACAACCTCTTTTTTTGTTAACTTTGAGAGTTTAACTGACTAATGAAAACTATGCCAATCTTTCCTTCTTCCAGCATTTTAAGTCTTCCACATCAAGCATCTCCAGTATCCCGCACCCCAAGCCTTCCTGCTGTAGACACAAGCTACATTAATACCTCCCTCATCCAAGACTATAGGCATCCTTTCCACATGACACCCATGCCTTATGACTTACAAGGTGAGTCACTGGTTCTTTTGTATTGTCACATAGCATTATGAATGCCTTTGATCTATCTAGTTCTCTTCTAGGTGAATCTAAGGAAGAACTGGAAGATTGAGCCAACAGGGCCTTGAACCCAGGGAACTGAGAGAAATAATATGCTGCTGTTAAAAATACTGACCCACTTCCTGTACTGTCATCAGTAGCCAGTGTTTTACTCCCAGTGGTAGAACTAGTACAATAATCTTTAGATTTTGTGAGCTCCTAAGTACTCCACAAATTGTTTTTGAATGATCGCTAGTATGTGGGTTTGAATTTTGGTATTTATGAACATTATTTTTTTTTTTGCCGTGGAGGATGGAGTCTTGCTCTGTTGCCTGGGCTGAAGTGCAGTGGCGCGATCTCAGCTCACTGCAACCTCCACCTCCCAGGTTCAAACAATTCTCCTGCCTCAGCTTCCCGATGAGTAGCTGGTATTATAGGCGCCCGCTACCACACCTGGCTAACTTTTTTGTATTTTTAGTAGAAGTGGGGTTTCACTCTTTTGGTCAGGCTGGTCTGAAACTCCTGACCTCGTGGTCCTCCTGCCTTGGCCTCCCAAACTGCTGGCATTACAGGCGTGAGCCACCACGCCCAGCCCTATGAACATTATTTATTGTTCCCTGACTTTAGTTGTAATGCAACAGTCATTGTGGGTAACTATGTTGTATTATGTTTTAATTAATGGTGAGTTGAGACATTTGAAAGTTTTAGTTTTTATTCTAATGAATTTGATCACTTAAAAAGAATTTTTTTTAATTGTGTGGGTACATACTAGGTGTATATATTTATCTGATCCTTCTTTTTAAAAGCAGTTTGAAATGTCAGTATACTCATTTGTATATTTTGAGTTCATAATAATATCAAAAAGAATTGTTCTTGTATATCTTTGTAGCATAATAATTTGTATATTAGTCATATAATCTAAGAACTTTTTTTATTAAAAAAGCCATATATGCTCATTGTAGAAAATTCAACACAGAAACATAAAGTGAAAGTTTCCCTCTACCTATCCCCCAACCCCACTCCCCGGAAGTTATAGCTACTCGTGTGTGTGTGTGTGTGTGTGTGTGTCGGAGTTTTGCTCTTATTGCCCAGGCTGGAGTGCCGTGTGTGTGTGTGTGTGTCGGAGTTTTGCTCTTATTGCCGTGTGTGTGTGTGTATGTGTCGGAGTTTTGCTCTTATTGCCGAGTGTGTGTGTGTGTGTGTGTGTGTGTGTGTGTCGGAGTTTTGCTCTTATTGCCGTGTGTGTGTGTGTGTGTCGGAGTTTTGCTCTTATTGCCGTGTGTGTGTGTCGGAGTTTTGCTCTTATTGCCCAGGCTGGAGTGCAATGGCACAATCTCGGCTCACTGCAACCTCTGCCTCCCAGGTTCTCCTGCCTCAGCCTCCCAAGTACCTGAGATTACAGGCACGCGCCACCGTGCCTGGCTTGGCTAATTTTGTATTTTTAGTAGAGACGGGATTTCACCATGTTGGTCAGGCTGGTCTCAAAACTCTCGACCTCAGGTGATTCGCCTGCCTTCACCTCCCAAAGTGCTGGGATTATAGGCGTGAGCCACCGCATCTGGACAGTTATAGCTACTCTTAACAGTTGGTTAGATATCTTTCTATACCTTTTTTCTACATGTATGAAACGCACTGTCACTATCAAGAACAACAGTGCTATGCATTTTGTAAGCCCTCATGTTGTAATCGGTTATAATGTAGACAGTGAGTAGATGCCCAGAGTATCTGTGATGTTGTAATATATTTATCTACATCTGCGTGTTTTACTTTTCCCCAAGTTTAGATATCACAATGAAGCATTTAATTCATGCCTGTTTACTTGCTCTTCATCGCATTACACATTGGGTGATCTAGAAAAGAATGTTAATTGGAAGGGGACTGCTTGCAGTGAATCCTCAGCAGCCAGGTATCAGGGCTATTCCTTCTTATGTAATAGCCAGGTTTCAGGCACTCAAATCTCTTCTCCCCTCGTGCCACTGCAGTCTGTCAGTTGAATCTGATAGCAAATGAGCAAAATTTAAGAAAGAAAAATCAGTGCTACAACTTATTTAACCTAACTCTTTCAACTTCAAACTTTCTCACCTGCAAAATGAGGGCAAAAATAATTACATACTTCATGAAGTGCTTGTGAGGAGTAACTTTGAGAGTAGATTGAAAGTTTCCTTAAGAGGAGTCCATGAGAGCATTTGTTAAAAAGTACTATGCCAGTTTAAGGATCAGTGTTAAATCTGAGAGTGATCATGGCCTCAGTCCCCCAAATGGGGTCACAGAGAAGACAAATCATTGCCAAAGCTTAGTTTTCAGCCTTAGTAATCTAAAGATGGGAGAGACATAAAGCGTTTAGCTCAACTCTTCATGTTTAAATAAAATTCTGAGTGACATAGCATTTAAGACTTGTATTTGTTTTTGAAGTATTGGGGCATTTGGAAGAGTTTTTCCTTTTTTTTTTTAACTGAAATAATTTTTTCTTCCACAGGATTAGATTTCTTTCCTTTCTTATCAGGAGACAATCAGGTATGTTATGAAAAATTTACTATTACTTTAATTGTACATTAAAAATACAGTCATGTGCCGCATAATGACATTTTGGTCAATGACAGACCATATATGCATTCCATAAGATTATAATGGAATTGTAAAATTCCTATATCAATTATAGCCATGGTAACATCGTAGCACAAGGCATTACTCACGTGTTTGTGGTGATGCTGGTGTGAACAAACCTATGCCACCAGTCATGTAAAAGTATCGCACATACAATTATGTACAATATAATAATAAACAACTATGTTACTGGTTTATGCATTTATTTTTTATTGTTATTTTAGAGTGTACATCTTCTACTTATTTTTTTTTTAAGTTTGCTGTAAAACAGTGTGCAGTGTTACTCCGGGACAGCCTCATACATCCCAGTTAGCCATATCTCTTGATTGCATCATTTCCTCTTGTGCTTGATTAAATCTTGTCTTGTTTTGTTCATCATGGCCCCTAAGCATACAAAATCCACAGCTAATGTTGCCAGTAAGAGGCCACATCGAGTGATTGACATGGCAAAAAAATTAAAAGTGATTAAGGACAATGAAGGTGGAAGATCAGTGATGGTTATTGCTCACCAGTCAGGCAGTCCCATTCTACCATAGCCACAGTCTTAAAGAACAAGAACAAAGTGATAGAAGCTGTTAAAGGATCTGCTTCATTGAAGGCAAGAAGACTAACAAAAATTTGAGAAGGGCCTGTATCAGATATGGAGAAACTTGTAGTGACCTGGATTGAAGACCAGACGAAGAAACATATCCCTCTCAGCACCATAATGATCATGGCCAAAGCAAAAAGTTTGTTTGCAATGTTTAAAGAATTTAAGACTGGACCCAACAACAGTGTTAAATGTACTGCTAGCTCTGGGTGGTTTAAACGATTCAAGAATCATTATTCATTATGTAATATCAAAGTGAGTGGAGAGTCTGCAAATGCAGATGTGAAGGCAGCTGAAGAATTTTTGGAAACTCTAGATAAGCTGATTATGAAGGAAGATTACTTGCCAGACAAATTTTCAATATGCATGAAACCTCCCTATTCTGGAAATGAATGCCTGAAAGGACTTTCATCCATAAAGAAGCCAAGTCAATGCTAGGTTTCAAGGCTTTTAAGGACTAGATAACAGTCTCGCTTGGGGCAGTATTGCAGGCTACAAATTGAAACCCTTTGTGATCTGGTACAGTGAGAACTCCAGAGCCTTCAAGCATGTCAACAAGCACACACTGTCCATGTACTACACGAGCAATAAGAAGTCATGGATGACTCAGCTCTTCTTCCAGGATGTCCTCCTGAATTGCTATGCCAGCAAAATGGAGAAGTACTATTTAGAAAGTAACATACTTTTCAAGATTATGATTTTTGTTGATAATACTCCCACACATCCTCATTTGATTGGTGATCTTCATCCCAATATCACAGTGTTGTGTCTCCTTCCAGGTACCACATCTTTGATCCAACCAGTGAATCAAGGAGTTGTAGCAGTTTTTAAGGCCTATTAAAAGATCCTGAGGAGGATCCTTGCCCAGGCTGTTGCTGCAACTGAAAAACACTGAGAAGACACTGATGCAATTCTGGAAGGTTTACAACAGCTATGACTGCATCAAGAACCTTGCTTGGGCATGGAGTGGTGTCACCAAGGAGTATGTGAATGACATCTAGAAGACACTGAAGAAGTTTGTTCATGACTTCAAAGAATCTGCTAAAGATGAAGAGGTTGCAGAAATCAACAAGGCTGTGGTTGAGATGGCAAACAACTTTAACCTAGATATGGATGAGGATGACATTGAGAAGCTCCTAGAGGTGGTTCCTGAGGAATCGATTAATGAGGATCTGTTGGAACTGGAACAGAAAGACGTAGCTGCAGAAGGTGCAAGAGAAAAGGAAACTGCAGGAGACAAAAAGAAAGAACCTCCAAGAAAATTCACAGTGAAGGGTTTAGCAGAAGCTTTTGCAGACCTCAACAAGCTCCTTAAAAAATTTAAGGCCAGGCGCAGTGGCTCATGCCTGTAATCCCAGCACTTTGGGAGGCTGAGGCGGGCAGATCATGAGGTCAAGAGATCGAGACCATCCTGGCTAACACGGTGAAACCCCATCTCTACTAAAAAATACAAAAAGAAATTAGCCGGGCATGATGGCAGGCACCTGTAGTCCCAGCTACTCGGGAGGCTGAGGCAGGAGAATGGCATGAACCCGGGAGGCGGAGCTTGCAGTGAGCTGAGTTTGTGCCACTGCAGTCTAGCCTGGGCGACAGAGCAAGACTCCATCTCAAAAAAAACAAAAAAAAAATTTAAAAACACGGGCCCTGGCCGGATGTGGTGGCTCACACCTGTAATCCCAGCACTTTGGGAGGCCAAGGCGGGTGGATCATGAGGTCAGGATTTCGAGACCAGCATGATGAAACCCCGTCTCTACTAAAAATACAAAAATTAGCTGGGTGTGGTGGCATACACCTGTAATCCCAGCTACTTGGGAGGCTGAGGCAGAAGAATCGCTTGAAGCTGGGAAGCGGAGGTCGCAGTGAGCCAAGATCGCGCCACTGCACTCCAACCTGGGCGGCAGAGCGAGACTCCATCTCAGAAAAAAAAAAAAAAAAATGGGTCCTAACAATGAAAGGTTTTCATTAATAGAGAGGAATGTTAGTGGTACTTTATCTACTTACAAGCAAATCTATGATAAAAAAAGAAACCAAGCAAAACACCATGGACATATTTCTGAAAAGAGTGACACCTCCTTAAGAAGAGCCTCACGCAGGTCCTTCAGTGGGTGTGCCAGAAGATTGTTGTCATAGCAAACGACAGCTCCATGCATGCTATTTTCCCTGAAGACCATGCAGTGGGACAAGCTGTGCGGGTGGAAGACAGTGACATCGACAACCCTGATCTCCCTGTGTAGGCTTAGGCTAATGTGTGTGTCTTCGTTTTTAACAAAAAAGTTAAAAAGTAAAAAATATTTTAAAATGTTAAAAATGGAAAAAACTTACAGAATAAGGATATAAGGAAGGAAATATTTTTGTACAGCTGTACAATGTACTTGTGTTTTAAATTAAGTGTTGTTACCAAAGTTTTAAAAAATTAAAGTTAATAAAATTAGTTAGCTAATGTTAATTTATTATTGAAGAAGGAAAAATATTTTTAACACATTTAGTGTGGCCATAGTGTACAGTGTTTATAAAGTCTATAGTAGTGTACAGTAATGTCCTAAGTCTTCACATTCACTCACCACTCACTCACTGGCTCACCCAGAGCAACTTCCAGTATTGCAGGCTCCATTCATGGTAAGTGCCCTGTACAAGTGTATTATTTATTTATCTTTTATACCGTATTTTTACTGTACCTTTTCTATGTTTAGATACACACATACTTAGCATTGTGTTACAGTTGCCTATGGCATTCAGCACAGTACCATGCTGTACAGGTTTGTAGCCTGGGAGCAGTAGGCCAGACCACACAGCCTACGTGTGTAGTAGGCTCTACCATCTAGGTTTGTGCGAGCACACTCTGATGTTTTCACAACCACAAAACCGCCTAATGATGCATTTCTCAAAACACATCCGTGTCGTTAAGCGACGCATGACTGTATTTAAAAGTATAATGTGTAGCCGAGAGAAATAATAAATTTCCTTGGAAAACTTCAGAGTAATCATACCCATTATTATGGCTTTAAAATTTAAATAAAAATTCTTTCTTTCAGTGGTGCCTGAGTGTATAGTAAAAACAGTGTCTTGGTTTCCAGTACTGTTTTATAAAGAAACTGGGCAGTGAGTCATATTGACTGATAGATTTCTTGGCTAAGTATCTCCTTACTAGCAAAAGGGTGGACTGTCTGCCCCTCCCTCTGCTTCTGAGCATATGCTTCTTAGGAAATAGAATTGATAATTGCTTGCAATACAAACTAAAACAAAAAACAATGAAATTTTTATTTTGTTTTTCCTCCAGTTTCAGATACAAAAATGTCTTCTCAAGATCAATGCTCCAGTCGTTACATAAGATCATTTGATTTTGCAGAATGTCTTAGTAAATATTTCAGAAACCCTAGATACTCAGGCTGTCTTAAATGTAGGGCTGTGTTCTGCTGAGGAGAAAATGTTTTAATTTAGAAGTATAATTAACATTTTTGTGTCTTTTGTTTCCCCTCCCTAGCATTACAACACCTCCTTGCTTGCCGCTGCAGCAGCAGCAGTTTCAGATGATCAAGACCTCCTACACTCGTCTCGGTTTTTTCCGTATACCTCTTCACAGATGTTTCTTGATCAGTTAAGTGCAGGAGGCAGTACTTCTCTGCCAACCACCAATGGCAGCAGTAGTGGCAGTAACAGCAGCCTGGTTTCTTCCAACAGCCTAAGGGAGAGCCATAGCCACACCGTCACAAACAGGAGCAGCACGGACACGGCATCCATCTTTGGCATCATACCAGACATTATTTCACTGGACTGATTCCCAGGCCCTGCTGCTCCCATCCCCACCCCAGATCAAATGAACTTGGCAGAAAGAAGAGAACTTTGTGCTCTGTTTTACCTTACTCTGTTTAGAAAAGTATACAAGCGTGTTTTTTTCCTTTTTTTAGGGAAAAAATTAAAAGAAATGTACAGAGAACAAAACTATATTTTCAGTTTTACTTTTGTATATAAATCTAAGACTGCCTGTGTGATAAAAACACTTGTTTAAAAAAAAAAAGGAAAGAAAAGAAAAAAGAAAAAACAAGCACCCACAAACCACCTTCAGCTCATTTTTTTCTGGATTCTGAAGATTTTTCATCATTTGTCCTATGGTTTTGGTTTTATTTTACTTCAATGGCATTATTTTATTTGCAATAACAGAAAAGGAATTGCATGTATGAAGTTTTAAATTGTGGGCTTTTCTTTGTTGTGGGGAGGGGGTTGGGGGGATAGTTTGATTTCCATTTTCTGAAAACGACAGACTTGGATTCTGTTTGTGTGTGTGTGCATATTTTATCCAGCCTTAAGTTATAAAGCTCATCTGTCCCACTGCATTCCCTATGTATTTTCAGGACATGGCTCGTGGGTGTGTGTTCATTGTGTGCGTCTGTATGTATTTTTCTGTCATCACTGTTCCCTCTCCTCCCAAGTGTGCATTCAGTTAATATAATCAGTTGCTTGCTTCTTTCAAAGTGCTTTGAAGGTCTTGAACTCACGTGTGAGCATCTTTATCAACTATCCCAACTGCATGTTCTCCATCACATATTCTCTTATTTGCTCTGTACCCCCTGAGAATATGTTTTAGAGATATTGGAATAAAGCTGTCTGGGTAAGGAGTAGGCTTAGCCGAACTATGAATAATACACTGTAGTCTAGTTCTTTATTCTAAATCTGGATTGCCAGTATTGTGTATTTAAACCAAGTCTGTGAATACCTGCTTTTTTTGGCCACAGAGTAACAATTTTTCATGTAAGATCTTCATACCAAAGTAGGAAGTAAAAATAGCTTAGAAAGCCCTGTCAGGTGTTCTGTGCAGCTGACAGAGGTAATGTTACATCACCTCAAAAAGAAAGATAAACAGTCAGTTATTCTAAAAATAAATTGTTTGGAAAGTACAATGCACCACATTTTTGTAGAAGTCTACTATTTGATAAACAGTTGAAATTCAAGATGTGTTTGACCCTTAGTCATTTTTACTCTTTGGTTCTGAGTATACCTATTTTCTTAGCATATCTACCTTGTTTATCTTTTTCTTCACCTTTTAACAAGTATGACATAGGAAAGTCATTTTTTTAGAATTCATGGATCAGTCTGATCTACTCTTACTCATAATGGAACATGTAAATATATTGAAAACTGTTTTTCAGGAGAGAAATATGAGTTGGAGGGAAGGAAAAGTGGTTCTACTTACGTTCCAAAATCCTCATCAGAGAAGGTATGATGTTCTCAGGTGCGGAAAATATTTTTTAGTTGATTGAGAAAGCAGGTTTAACAGAAAACATAAAGAAGGGGCATAATGATTGCCGTTTTTCCAGACTGGATTTTCTTACCACAACTGTTAATGTTCTCAGAGTTGATGAAGGACCACCTTTGTGTATACACTTGTAGTTTTAAACCTTGCATTGGTAACAAAATGATCTACTTTAATCCAGGTAGAATTCAAGATGGCTGTACTTCAGTTGTATGATAAAATTAATGGTTCTCATGACTGTGTGGCATCTAAAAATAATGTTTTTATAGCATCTCTCTGCCACTAAATTGTTGACTTGAATTTTGGGAAAAAAAGTTGGTGTTGATATGTATATGTGTGTGTGTATATATGTATTTATAAACTGTGTGTGAGTAACAAGTGAGTTTCATAGTCTTCCCCTACGCATGTGTATTCCACACACAAATGGCTGAGTTATAGTCATAAAACAATTTGCAATAAAACAAAACAGATTGTCGGTTAACCAGGAAACAGTTACGTTTTTTAATGAATCTGGTATTACAGTGAGCAAATGTCATATTAATTTAGGCTAATTTCTAATAGTACCATAATTTGTGTCTAAATTTGGACTGGGGTAGAAATTACTAAAATTGTGGGGAGTTTGTTTTCTGATTTTACATTGCTTTAGGAAACATTTTTACTAATTCAGCTGTCTTAGGTAAAATGAATAGTTTTCTTCCTGTTTTTTTATGTGTCATTGTTAGTGGTCTCAAAATTCTGATCAATAACTTTGTGTATGATGCTGAATTATACAAACTGTTTGAATGATCCAGTGGAAAACATATCCCTCTACGTTCTTCTGTCCAGTTGTAGAGAAGGTTAGTTTCCCTCAGTGTCCCACATTTACCAACCTAAGAGAAGAACAGGTAATAGGGAGAAATAAACATAGAGTGGTTTCAGTGGTTTTGGTCATGTGTCCACAGGAGAAACTAGCCATTCAGAAGTTGTCTTAATTATAGTTCATTCCACCCTGTGAGGAATTTGTTTCCATCAGTTGTTGACTTTCCAAAATGTTACATTAAGTAATAGTTGTCATTCTGTTGGCCTCATGGTCAATATCAATCACACTTCATGATCTCTACTAATTACTAGTAGAGTCATGTACTATGTCTTTAACTCCTAAGTTTAAAGAAAAGCACAGAGTCACTTCATCTCTTTTTTTCTTAGCCTACCCTCACTCCCCAACCCATGCCAACATTGACATGCTATCTGTGGACAAATAGCAGTTCTCAGAATCTAGTCAAGTTGCCATCATCCCCCTTGCCTTGGCCATTATAGTAGGTATGCATATGTTTGTTTCTGTACAGTACTGTGTGTGTGTGTATATTTACATCTGTATGCATACATCTTTGATAAAATAGCTATTTGACTAGCAGGGTTAAAGTGGCTTTTAATTACTTTGTGAGCGTTATTGGATACATCTTTAAAAAAAAAAAACTGAACCAGAACCATGCCACGCTTGGTTGACTATTTTGAGCATTAAAATTGCTTTACTAATTATGTAGACATTATCACAATTCTGTATCTTTACTGACTTAGGAAAGATTCACGTAAGCTCTGAAAACTCTGATTCCTTGGTAGATTTTCCTTTGAGTCAAGTGTCTGAAATGGAATGAAAAGATATCCTAACTCCAAGTTAATATGGAAAGAGCATTGTTTTTAAAACAATTTCGATTTTAAATACATAAAACGTTCAAGATCTTCAGGACTTTTTAAAGCACATTTGAAATTATTTTAGTAAGAATTTTGTTTTATCAATATATGTTGAATTCTGTTTTTTAAACATAAAGCTTAGATTTCAGAAAGAGGGAGGGAAAATAGCTGGTGGTCCCAGAGTGTGCTGCTGTTAATTGTTTAACAAAGGGGAAAATGTATATAAACAGATAAAGTTACCATAAATTCCATGAACTTAAATCTGTGATTCATTGCCTTAAAACTTTCTCTCTTAGAATTTCCATACCGCATGCCAAACCAGTAAAATGGCTTTTAAAAATGTATAGTAGACAATGTCAGTTTGTATAAAAGTACCAAGTGAAAATATTTATTACATGCATTGGAAAAAAAATTGTTTACCTATTGAATGTTACCTGTTTATGTAGAGCTCTTTAGATGTAATAAAAGAAAAGCCTTCAGTTAATTTGTCTTCTGTAAAATAACACTGCTGGGTGTTCAAGGGGACAAAATCCCTGTGAGACAAGTGATAATGGTTTGTGCTTCCAAAGCACCTTTCATCCAGAGATTTCAAAGCATGACAAGTAACTAATTTTCTTGCAGCATGCTTTGAGGTAAGTAATGAATATATAGCCATCATTTCCCTCTCTTGTTGAAATATGGCTAGCTCTTTAATAAATCACAGCATCTGTTCAGCATCTGCAGTTTGAATGCTAAGAGCACCGTGGCCGCCTTGTAAACAACACTAGGTGCTAGAGAAACCAGCTGGAATTTCAGGAATGAGCTTGAAACCAGGACAGGAGTAATATAATAGCCCTTCCTCCGGTAGAGGTTTGAATCGGAACACTTCACAGGATCTTAGGCTCTGGACCACTGGATCCCCTTAATGAGGAGCATGGAGTCTGTGAAGAGGAGCCCCAGGTTCGAATTCCACACCAGCTGTGTGTTTTTGGCAAGCTATACTTCAGATTCCCGTTAGGCAAATGAGATGCATAAAACTTGCTTTAAAGCCATACTGGGACTATTCAGTGATAAATACAGACATAGAAAAGCTTTGACGGAAAGGACCCTCATTTTTTATAGCCAGAACTTGCTCTTCCTGTTCCATCTAAATCATTGGTATCTATCTCCCATCTACTCTTTGGTATTCCAGGTTGGCTGTGCAGGATTTACTTCCTAATGTCCATGACGAGCTCAAAAGAGGTACCGGCCTAGGACCTTTGAGCTTTGCCTGAAAGTGACAGCAGATCTCTTGGGGGGAGGTGGGGGGTGGGGTGGGCAGCGTCTAACCGGCCCTCTGGTGGATGTACCTTGAAGGTAATGAAATTTAAGCATGAGGACCCCTCACTTGCCCTGGTCCTGGGAGCAGCCCCAGAAATTCTGCATTTCTGTTTTTGTATTCTTAAGGCAGCCAAATCTTATAAACCTCAGATCCCACAAAACATCTGCTTCTACACTGTGCGGACCTGGGCTTCCCAGCCAGATAGTCACAATTTCACCTAGTTGGCATTTCGACCATTTACTTACTCTCACCCCCACAAAACTCTTCTCTGTGGCTCCTAGGAATTCCCACTTACTCCCTTTGCAGTTACGCTTGGGGAAATGAGAGTCTCCTTCCTCAGGGCCTTGTTTGGGTCTGAAGCCACACGGCATTGTTGAGACAGTTGCACTAACACTACAACTCTTGCTCCCTGCAGTTTTCCCTGTGCCCGGTGCCTAGTGGAAGATTTGTGTCTTGTACATCTTCCCAAAAGACACATCCCGTTTGATTTGGTTTTCTTCTGCTTTAGCCTGTGGCACCACTAGACAAAGCCGCAGCCCAGAGAACCCACTTTTGATACATACATGAAAATCTTTGCACTTGGAGCCCTCCAGCCCTTTTTAGGACTGTGCTGGCACTACAAATGATCCAGATTTGACAAGTGTATGGCACCTCTGAATCTCTGGCAGCACCAACCTGGCACCTTCTGGCTAACTCAAAGTCACTCGAGCTGGATGGACTTCCAGAAAGCCTAGTGCTCCTACTACTGTTTTCCAGGGCTGTTGTACCCTGGCCATTGCTGGTTCCATCCCCTTATTTCTCTCCATAAGTCCTGGGGAAGTGGCTTAAGGCTATGACCAGTGTGGGCCACTTAAGCAGACCTCCCTGGAACCTCTCTGCCTGGTAACAGAGCCCAGGGAACAGCTCAGAATTCTCACAGCATTGGAAGCCCCCTTCTTGAGCTCTGCAAGGCCAGTGAATTCAGCCGCTCACATCTGGTTTGCTTTGGTGTGAGGTGTAAAGTAGATCACTCTTCCCGCTCTCAGCTGATGCTGCCTCATTGTAGTATGTGTTTTCACTCTACAAAGTTTTCACTCTATACTCTGTGTTTATGAACCAATAGCCTGAGCTTTGTCACTGTATCTATTGAGATAGAAATGAGAATTTGTAAATGGGCCTCTGGCACCGCAAAAATTGTCGTGTTACAGCTTTTTGTTTGTTGCAGCTTCTCAGCTAGCACTGGCTTCATCTTGGAAATATGGAAGATGGTTCTAGCCCCCAAATACAGAGTAAGTCTCTTGGTAGATTACCCTTAAGTCATTAGCTCAATCCTTCCTCAACAGGCTCCATGAGGTAAGAAGTGGGAATCCAGCTTGTGTGAGGGCCCCGAAGCTTTGAGGGGTGAAATGATTTGCCCAAAGTCACAGTGGGAAGCAGAAGAGCCAGGACTGGAACCCAGGCCAGACTCCAAACCACAGGCTCCTTCCATGCTTGAAAGGGCCGGACTCATGGTAGTTAATAAAATCAATACAAATCTTTTATTAAAAAGATCTGCTCATACCATGCATGGCTGAAATCATCTATTATTGTCGCTAGTTAGCCTCTCTTCTGTAGTTGGGTAATGTTGTCTTGCCACTGTGTTTGCCATCTCCCCCAAGTGAAAAGAACACTTTTCTTTTTAAAAATTAATCGCTCCAAGTTTTCAGGCCCAGGGGAGGCTCTCGCATTCTCCTCCTTCAATAGTCCTGTCCAGGAAGGGTGATCTTGTGGATAAATTCATCATACTTCACTTTGCCGTTGGGTTCGATACCTGCTTCCCTGAAAAGATCATCCACTGCAATAAATCACATTAATTTTTCAGTTTGGCTTTAGTGTTCCATTATAAAACTGAGTTCTTTGGGGACTGGAGCTCCCCTAAGGTCTTCCCTGAGTGTCCTGTTGACTATTCCTATAGACCAGGAAGTAAACCAGTGAACAGAAAGGGACAACCCACCCCTGCCCTCCTGAGACCACGGATTCCATTTAGAGCTAATCAGGCTTTCTGCAGGGGCAGGGAGTAGGGAGGTGTACTGGTAAGGATTTGGTCACTGATGCCACCCTGGGCTTTTTTTTTTTTTCTTTTTTGAAACAGTTTCGCTCTTGTTGCCCAAGCTGGAGTGCAATGGCGCAATCTCCGCTCACTACAACTTCTGCCTCCCAGGTTGAAGTGATTCTCCTGCCTCAGGCTCCCGAGTAGCTGGGATTACAGACACGTGCCGCCACGCCCAGCTAATTTTTTCTTATTTTTAGTAGAGACAAGGTTTCACTATGTTGGCCAGGCTGGTCTTGAACTCCTGACCTCAGGTGATCCACCCACCTCAGCCTCCCAAAGTGCTGGGATCACAGGCATGAGCCACTGTGCCTGGCCCACCCTGTGCTTTTATTTTTATTTTTTCATGAAAATATGACCCCTGTGCCTCTATTTCTAGAAACCTTTGTCCTGGAGTTTTTACCTTCCACCAGCTCAGCCTGCAGGCAGAGCAAACATCCTCGGCAGCCCCAGGCTTCAGCCTGCCCCTCACTTGCCTGCCTTCTCCCCTAAGCCAATGCTCCTCACCACCCCTGCCCCCACCCCAAGAGAGGACTTAGTGAAAAGCACTGTCTGCTACCATCACTTCTAAAAAAAAGTATGTTTGGGGGATGGGTTTTTATGAGAGAAAAATAAATCCAACTGTGTTGAGAGCTCACAGCATACAAGACTGCCATTGTTCTCCATCGCGCCAGAAAAAAAAAGAAAAAAAAAACTTCATTTGCTTGTTTCTTCTGGTTCTGGATTCCTGGGATAAAATACTAGCTTGTCCCAGGCGTTGGCAAGAGCCATTTCAGCTTGTATTCTTCACAATGGCCTCTTGGGGCCAACCTACCATGCCCCTTTAGCCCATCCTCATCTCACTGCCCTGTGTCAACTTCCCAGGCCTGGACACCTTCCACACACACACCCCTGTAGTCAGTCAGAAAATATCCTGTGATTCTGTGCTTAACTATCCTCGAAAGTACAATCACCGTGCCTTATGCCTAAGCTGATAGTAGTTCTGAGTATTGGGAGAATTTGAGGACACTAATTCATCTCATTTTGTGGAGAAGTTTCTACAATCAGCCAGCTGGCTAAAACCATCCTGGGGGGCAGGCCAACATCAGCTCCAGGGCCAGTCACTGCAGCCTCTTCCCATCTGGGCGAGGGACAGCACTTAGCCAGGTGCTGAGGACACCTGAGTAGAATAGCCTTTCACTCCGTCTCACTTCAAAGACCCATAAAAAGCCAGTGCTGAAGTCAGCCCGTCCCAGGCCTCAGGAGGAAAAGGCTTCACCCGCAGCCGTTCCAGGGATGTTTTTTAATCAAACTGAAAATTGTCTTTCGATCACCCAGAGAAAGGATTCCTGCTGCTGGTATCATTCTTCCCATCTCCCGTGGCAAGTGAGAGGGAAATCAGTGTCCCTGCTTGTCTGGAACTCACCAGTTTCTGTGAAACATTCCTCTGCTGGTTACGAGAGATGTATGTGAGTCTGTGGCCATGGCATTGCTTTAGGACAGAGATCATTAACCACAAAAATAAGGCCCTGCTCCCTCTGCTGACTCCACCTGTTGCCTAGAGGGCTGGGCAGTGTCCTGCGGGGAGTCTGGGAGGGAAGGACGGCCCATGTCTTCCCTGTCCATGTGAAAATAGCCACAAGAGGTGAGCCTGGGAAAGTGGGGTATGGAGACCCAGCCTGCTGTTGGGCGATTGATTATTTATTTATTTATTTATTTACTTTTGGAGATGAAGTCTCATTCTGTGTCCCAGGCTGGAGTGTAGTGGCGCAAGCTCAGCTCTCTGCAACCTCTGCCTCCAAGATTCAAGCTGTTCTCCTGCCTCAGCCTCCCGAGTAGCTGGGGCTACAGGCGTGCGCCACCACGCCTGGCTAAGTTTTATGTCAGGCAATTTTTAAACTCTCTGCACTGTGCCTTAATGGCAGCAGCTAAAATCTGAGCAGACTGATTTGTAGAGTGGTAGCTCAGAGGGACCTGAGGGGTCACCTTTTGTACCCTCATTTCTAGCAAGGAAAGTGAGGTGGGAGAGAGGTCTCCCAGCACCCAGGATTCAAACCACAACCTCAAACCCCTCCTCCAGTGGTTTACGGTGATTTAACCAGGGACGGAAAGTCCGTCATTTTGAAGCCTGTTTTCAGCACCCACTTGTGGCCAAGCCCAGCTCTCCTGTCCCAACCACAGGCCAGCAGGGCAGCCTAACTAGAAACCCCAGGCTCTGAGGTCGGGGTCCCTGGCCTTGGGCAGAGGCAGAGCTGGCTGGCTGCTGCTGATGTGGCAGGGCTGGGCAGGAGGGTCCGCAGACTGGAAGAACAAAGGCTGCAAATGGCCTGGCGTGGGGGTCCCTTTGACAGTGTGTACAAACGGCTTTCCTAGAAAACCCCAGGCTTTGTCCTGCTCTGAGGCAAGAAGGCCTGCTGGGCTGCAGGAAGGCACAAGGCAGAGAGACCCCTTCTCACGGGGCTCTGGGACCAGGAACCCCGCCTGTCTCGGCAGTTCTCCAAGTGTCCTGGCAAAGTTCCCTGTGGAGCCCCCTTCTGGAAGAGCTTAGAGCAGCCTGAGTTGGAAAGGAAGCAAAGCGGCACCTCAATTCGGAAACTCAACCTCAGCAGCAACTGCAGAGACTGCTGTGATGGGAGGAGGGGCAGGGATGTCTAGACCTGTCTTCACTCCCGCACTGCTGCTCAGGAGCCACTCACTCCCCGCTTCTTTATCAGTAGAAGCAGGAACTTGTGCTCCCAGGGCTGTCATAGGCACTAGACGAAGCCCCACAGTGAGAGCTTAAACACAGGGGGAGGCCTGACTGCACGCTCCAGCTTCCCTGCCCTGTGGGGTCCAAGCTGGGTTTCCCCCCAGCTGTCCCTTCACCCTGGCAGACTTCTCCCTGCGCCCTTCCAGGCCCCCTGGTTCTTCCCCAGGCTCCAGCACCCACCTAGTATGGCATCTGCTCACAGTCTCCTGTGCATGCATCAACAGAGATGGTCTGCACCACCCTGGTGGCATCAGCCGGGCTTTGGTGCCCTCCTCCCAACTTCCTAACCCCCTCTGACTGGTGGGAGACAGGCCCCAGGCTGTTACCTTCCTTGTGGGTGAGCTTCTCCCCGAGGCTCGTAAGTTTTGACCGCAGGTCGGACGCCATGATGTAACCTTTCTTCTCCTTGTCCGCCATCAACATGGCTAGAAGAATTTCTTTCTTTGGGTCTTCTTGTTTTATTTGCATGTGCATAATGGTCAGAAAAGTGGAGAAATCCAGCTCTCCATTTCCATCTAGGAAACCCACAAACACAGCAGAGTGAGCAGAGGGAAAAAGGCTCTTGGGAAGCCAGTTAGCCTCCTGCTGGACCTGCACATCCAGTTCAAGGGTCACCGACCAGGGAACGCCAGGATGTGGCAGTGGTCACAGTGAAGAGGATGCAGCCTCTCCCACCAAGTTCCCACAACGGGCCCCTCAATGGACTGGACATTCTTCATTTCAGCAACGTCCTCAGTGATGATGCTTATCATCACCCCAAAACTCAAGAAAGCGGGGTCCCATCCACAGATGGAGGACTGGGCTCCTCTACTCCCTTCTAGCGCTTCCCTCCTGCCCTGAACTGGAGGGAAACAGGTCCATGTGTCCATTCCACCTTTGACAACCACCACAGCACATCTACCAGGATGGATCAGCGCCCCCACCTGCGGCCTCAAGCCTCAGTCCCAGGCTGGGCTGCTCACCTGCCTTCCCCTCACTGCAGTTTCCACCCCAGCCCCTCCTCCACGCGCCCTGGCTGGGAAATCAAAACTTCCCCTGACTACAACTTCCTATTTGTTTAGACGAGACAGAAATCAAGGAAACCACTACCGCTTTGGGGCTGGACATGGGGGATCTCAGGTATCAGACCACTGAGCACCCCACTGCCAGGCTGCAGGCCTTCAGAGGCCCACCTGGGCCCAGCGTGGCCTGCCCCAGGGCAGGATCCCAGCGCCACTGCGGGCATCCTCTAGTGGGGTCTTCGGTAACCCTAGCAGATGGTGGTAACCCCCATGAGATGAGGAAGCTGGGGGCCTGAGACTGAGCAGCAGCCTGTGGGCTCTGGGTCAAGTGTTCTTCCCAGGGGACCCCCTTCCCCTGGGCCAGTCCCTCCTTCCTGAGTGTCCAGCCTCCAATGCAAACAGCCACCCCAGCCTCTGAAACTACTCCTTTTTCTCTTAGGAAAAAACACAACAAAACATAAAATCTGCTTCTGACTGAAAAGCCGTATATGTTCTCATTGTTGAAAATACAGGAAACAATAAAAGAAATTAAAATCACCCATAATCTCATCACCAGAGAGAACTACTTGGTAACATTTTGGATGGGTTTTCTTTCGGCATTTTTTTTTTTTTTCTAGCAATAGTTTTTCTAAAAACTATTGCATAGTTTTTAGGTCAGTCTTTGGTATCAGAAGAATTGGGTTCTAATCCTGATGCCATCACTGGCTGAAGAACTTAATGGCTGTAAACCTTGATCTTTGCTTGTAAAGTGGGTTAGGAGAAAGCCAGGCACAGTGGCTCATGCCTCTAACCCCAGCACTTTGGGAGGCCGAGGAAGGCAGATCACCTGAGATCAGGAGTTTGAGACCAGCCTGGCCAACATGGCAAAACCCCGTCTCTACTAAAAATACAAAAATTAGCCAGGCGTGGTGGCGGGCGCCTGTAATCCCAGTTACTTAGGAGGCTGAGGCAGGAGAATCACTTGAACCTGGGAGGCAGAGGTTGCAGTGAGTCGAGATTTCATCACTGCATTCCAGCCTGGGCGACAGAGCAACTCTGTCTCAAAAAAAAAAAAAAAAAAGAGAAAATGAGGTTAAGAGAATGCCTACTTCGTAGGGTTTTGGAGGTAAGCACATGACAAATACTCAACAAAGGGAAATGTTTCTATAAAACATTGGGCTTGCTGTCAGCGCGGCTTTTCCCTGGGTTTGATAAGTCTGTTGGAACGCCTAGATCCCGAGGTCTGTGAGATAAGGTATCACTGATTGCTATGAGGATTCCAGGAAGCCGAAGTAAGGCATAGCACTCCTGGTCTGGGGCTGCCACAGCTGGGTCCCCAGGAGGCCTGCCTGCCAGCTGCCCCTCAAACTGCTGAGCTTTTCACACCTCTACCGTCTGCACCCACCTGCTGGGCCCCTCCCCACTCCCCGTTGTTCCCATCACCACTCACCTATCCCGTGGGTCTGCAGGTGCCGCTGCACCTCCCCTGGCGTCGGGCTGGCCCCCAGGCACCTCATGGCCACCATGAGGTCTGTGGCTTTTATCTTCCCCCTCTGCTGCTTGTCATACAGGGAGAAGCATTCCTTGTACTCTGCGCACAGCCCAGAGGCAGGGTCAGCAGCGTCTGGTCACTCTCCGCTGATGCCGCCCTCCCTGTCCTCAGTCTCTTCTCCCTCTTTTCTCTTCCTCTTCCTTTTGCCCACTCCCGCCATCCCTCTCTCCCCTCCCCTCCCCTCCCAAGGGTGCTAGATATAGCAAATGAAAATACAGGACTGCCAAGTTAAACTGAATTCAGAAAAACACTAAATACATTTTAATTGTATGCCCCAAATTTTGCACAGGACATATACTTCTATTGAGAAAGTATTTGTTGTCTGAAATTCTATTTAACTGGGTATCCTGTATTTTATCTGGCTCCTCTTCCCTTCCTCCCTACTTCCTCCCTTCCTTCTCCCTCCCCCTCCCCCCCTAACCCTCAGGACTACAACTCCCAGCACAGTCCCCCTCCAGGGCTCACAGCGGAGAGCAGAAACCCACAGCAAGGTGTCCAGACCCCCAGGGGACCTCTGCAAACACAACTTTTCTGGACAATGGGAATAATAAGGCCTCAGGATTACTGTGAGAGCCAGAAATCCCAGGAGGCCTGGCAGAGAGTGGCCCTCATATGGTGATATTATCATCATTAGAGCTGGGGCATTTCTGAGCCTATCGCTCCCGCCCTGGCCTCCAGGCTGCTGAACCCTCAAGCTCTCCATGGACTCGGGCCCTGGTCCTGTTCTTAGAGGCTTCAAAGGGTCCAGCTGGGAAATTCTCCCAGGGTCTGAAGCCGTTTCTCCCTCGGTACTTGGTAGAGGTGGAAGGCAGCCGGAGCTAAGGCTCCCCTAAACCCACAGTCTCCCGGCCTGACACAGCCGTCCCACGGGCTCCCAGCCCTGGGAGTCCCAGGAAGGCCAGCTGGGAGTTCAGGGAAAGTCCCCGGGCCGCACTGACTGAATGTCTGGTTCGGGGGTAGGTGGGGCTGCCATCAGGACAGGGAGTCTCTCATCCAGCCCAGACGAGGCACCCGGGCCTGTGGGTGGAGCCGTGGGAACCCAGTGGCCTGGCGCTGGCCATCCCAGGCTGGGGCTCAGGGCTCTGTTCTCTCTCCTGCTTCTCACACCACCCAGGTGGGTCCTTAGAGGCCTGGACAGCTAAGCACCTTAGCTGATGACAGCAACAACGACAGTTCACATTGCTGAGCACTCTGCCCCCAGGCCCTCGCTTCAGCCCCACCACCCTGTGACACGCTCCTCATATTCCCATGTGCAGACAGGGCACTGAGGGCTGCAACACTGACAGCCTGGCTGTGGGCAGCTCTGCCCGCCAGGCCACACTGCCTTCAGTTCCAGGGCAAACACCGCTGAGTGCAGCAGAGTGAGGGAGAGGACGTAGAAGGAGCCCCCTCAAATCCCTAGCCCAGACCAGGGGTCCCTTCATACTCCCTCATGAAGGCACTCAGGCCTCCCTGGTGGGATTTCAGGGGTGTCACTAAAGACAGGCAGATTGCCATGTACCATTTAGAGACAAATTCGTGGCCTTTGTGGAGAGACGAAGAGGAAACCCCCAGCCCCACACACCTGCCCTTTCAGAACGTTCCAGAGCCTGAGCTTCCAAAGGGGCAAACCAAAGACAGGACCAGGTGGCAGGGGCCGAAGCGGCCCAGAGGAAGCAGGGCCAGAGCCTGGGCTAAGACCCCAGCTTTGATTCCCATAAAACCAAATTGCCTGCAAGAGGGCCCAGTGCCAGACGGGACAACGCCATCACTTCACGTCAGGGGGACAGAGAGAGGGCTGCCCAATCACAGGGCTTAACCTTAGCACTGCAGGGGGTGCCCCTGGGACCTCTCATGGCCACCCTCACCTTGTCTTTCTGTCTGGGTTTGCCCCTGGGTGAGGGAGGGCCAGAGGCCCACCGCCGTCCCTGCCTGACCTGTGCTGGAAGGTGCTCATCGCACCCTTGGGGTCCAGAATCAGCCTGGATCTGCAGATGGGTGCACTTCACCACTCCCTGACAAGCCCTGTCAGTCACTGGGGACCTGTGGTCCTTGCCAGCAGCAGCGCCAGGGCTCAGAGGCCCAACTCCTAACAAACCTTCACATCAGATATGTGCCGTCTCCCTGCCTCACACGCCTTTAAAGACCTGGAAGGCCTGATGTGAACTTGGAATTCCTGCACTGGAACAGACAGCAGGGTGTTGGAGACCCACCTGGGCTTCCCGCTGGCCCCTTCCTCCACCCTCTCTCCACTCTCCCTCCTCACCTCCTGGCTCTCCTTCCTGCTCTTCCTCCTGCCAGGTCGGCCCTCTAACATACTAGCACCTATATTTCACCACGTTCCCCTCCCTCGATGGTGACCCCCGTGAGGAAGGGATTTTTGTCTTTGTGTTCACTGTTGTAGCTCTAGTGCCTGGAACAGGGCTAGCACAAAGAAGGGACACAAACGTTTGTTGAATGAAAGGATTAATTGGGTTAAATGAATTGGATTAAAAATCCCCTTTAAGTCTTCTCTTTGAAAATGCAAATCCCCCGGGACAAGAAAGAGACCTGCGCAAGGCCTAGGATAACACCAGCTGTGCTGGATGTTTAACCATCAGTTCTGATCATATATGTACTTGTGTCCTCTGCACTGTACAAACATAAAGGATGTGTAGCACACAACTTACAAATAATACGGAAATGTACACTATTCTTTATTATAAATTCCATCTAGGGCTGGGCGCAGTGGCTCACGCCTGTAATCCCAGCACTTTGGGAGGGCGAGACAGGAGTATCACTTGGGCCCAGGAGTTCGAGACCAGCCCAGACAATATAGTAAGACCTCATGTCTACAAAATATTTAAAAATATTTTGTGGGTGGTGGTGCGTGCCTGTAGTCCCAGCTGCTCAGGAGAAAGAGGTGGGAGAATCCCTTGAGTCTGGGTGGTGAAGGTTGAAATGAGCGGAGATCATGCAATTGCACAGAGCAAGGCTCTGTCTCAAATAAATAAATTCCATCTGGCCACTTGATTACTACGAATGAGTTTTGCCAACTCTTTTTTTTTTTGAAAGAGTTTCACTCTTGTTGCCCAGGCTAGAGTGCAATGGCACGATTTTGGCTCATTGCAGCCTCCACTCCCAGATTCAAGCGATTCTCCTGCCTCGGCCGCCCATGGAGCTGGGATTACAGGCATGCACCATGCACCATCACGACCGGCTATTTTTTTTTTTTTTTTTTGAGATAGAATCTCATTCTTGTTGCCCAGGCTGGAGTGTAGTGGTTTGATCTCAGGTCACTGCAACCCCTGCCTTCTGGGTTCAAGTGATTCTCCTGTCTCAGCCTCTTGAGTAGCTGGGATTACAGGCACCTGCCACCACACTCGGCTAAATTTTTTGTACTTTTAGTAGAGATGGGGTTTTGCCATGTTGGCAGGCTGGTCTCGAATTCCTGACCTCAGGTGATTTGCCCACCTTGGCCTCCCAAAGTACTGGGATTACAGGCGTGCACCACCGCGCCCACCAAGTTTTGTATTTTTAGTAGAGATGGGGTTTCACCATGTTGGCCAGGCTGGTTTTGAGCCCCTGACCTCAGGTGATCCACCCACCTCGGCCTCCCCAAGTGCTGGGATTACAGACGTGAGCCACCATGCCCAGCCCAAGTTTTGCCAACTCTTATATCCATTGCCAACCTACAGTTTTGATTGGACCATGATTTGACAAATGAAGCTGTATGCCAATGAGTGTGATTCTTTTTCCAATGAAAAATCTGATGTGATCTACTGTTAAACTATTTCTCACCCTTGTACCAAATACATTCATTAAACTGAAACTTATTTGAAATCACCAGCTCTACTGATCACAATAGGGCTGTCTTTTTAACTTTTTGTATAGATAGATGTAGGGACTGAAACATTGTTTGATCCTACATTATTTAATAATGGCTGGCTTTAACATCCTGCTTGCAAAATTCCTAAAAAATGGCTCTTGCTAGCTGCAGTGAGCCAGCCCCAGCCTACATGTGGGTGACACCTGCCTGTGCCTGGCCCAGCGTCCAGCACGTAACTGACATTATCCCCCTCTGTCCCTGGCTCGCAGCAGCCTGGTGAGGTGGCGTATCCCTACTCCACAGGTGAGAAAACCGAGGCTCAGGGTGATTAGGCTTCAGGTCTGCTGCCTCCAAAGCCCCTGTTCTTTCCACTTCGCTAGGCCACCCCGTCCAGTCTTTTACACACTCGTTAAACATTGGTGGCCACTTTCTTGGTGTCAGATACTGGGATACAAAGAGAAATTGCCTTCTTCCCTTCTGGGAGCTTTGGCCATCCCAGGAGGGAGGGTCAGTGAGCCTTAAAACCAGGCATGGGTGGGAGGATGCTGAGGCTGAGAGCTGAACTCCAGCCCTCAGTCCACCATTCAGTATCACCTTTAGACCTGGACAAGAGGGTGCTGCCCCGGGCCCTGTGTTTTAAAAGTCCCTGCTCCTGCCCTGGCCCTCCTCTTGGGATAAAGAGTTTGAGGGGTCTACATGGAGGTGGCCACCTGGAGCTCACAATTCCTGCCCCTCTAGACCAAGCTCAGAATACCCAGAACTCTGGAACTCCTGGCCGGGTAACCCTAACCCCACTTGGCTGGGCTCTCAGGACCCTACCCTGGATCACAAGGGCCCAAGGTGCCTGTAATTTGTTGTTGTTGAGACAGAGTCTCACTCTGTCGCCCAGGCTGGAGTGCAGTGGCACGATCTTGGCTCACTGCAACCCTGCCTCCTGGGTTCAAGCGATTCTTCTGCCTCAGCCTCCTGAGCAGCTGGGAGTACAGGCACCCACCACCATGCCCAGCTACTTTTTGTATTTTTAGTAGAGACGGGGTTTCAACATATTGTCCAGGCTGGTCTCGAACTCCTGACCTCGTGATCTGCTCGCCTTGGCCTCCCAAAGTGCTGGGATTACAGGCGTGAGCCACCACGCCCGGCCTTGGTACCTGTAATTTTAGCTCCAGTAGTCAGCGAAGGACTCACTGAGAAGGTGATGTTTCAGCAGAGACCTGGAGGAACAGGGATGCCTGGGGGGACTCTCAGGCCCATTGACGTCCACTGGTGGGACAGGTTCAGGGTCACAACCTCAAGCAGCAGCTGGCTGTGCCTCCTGCGCCTCTCCTGCCAGGTATAGGGGGGCTGCAGTCATGAGGCTCCCCTGGCTCAGGTCTGGGCCCCTGAGTTCTTTGTAACCCAACCCTTTGTGCTCTTGGCCTTGTGGAAATAGAACCTGCACGGTGTGAAACTGAAGCCTGGTCGAGGGCTGGCAGAGTAGGGGACCCAGGGAATGAAGTGCTCACACCCAAACCAGACTTGATGCCAGGGCAAAGGGGACTCAGTGGACCCCCTCCCATTTTACAGATAGGGAGACTGAGGCCCAGAGAGTAGACGCATCCTGCTGGAGAGTGCAAACCTGGCCTCTGTTCTGTCTCAGTTACAAAGCCCCTCCTCTTTCCCTGCTGTCAGCCATACCTTTAATGGTCTCTCTCTCTATCCCCAGTCCCCTCAGTCCCCAAATCCAACTGGTCAGGCTCTGGAGGGAAACCTAGTGGGCTCTGTCTTAGCGCCCTGGCTTGTAAATCACACTGACACGTATAAAGCCACATTTCTATTTTGGAGGCTCACCCCCGACCCCCAGCCCACCGACGGCCGCCTCCCTGCAGCTCTTGGCCCCGTGGGTGGGCCCAGCTCTCCCCCAGCCACCTTCCTTCCCACCAGGAAAACATGAGCAGAGCAAACTGCCTAATGAGACCCATGTTTTGCTGAGTTGCTAATTAAAGAACAAACCCAACCTACCATTAATTTGGTCTTGGGAAAGAAACTTGGCCTGCAGCAGAGAAAGGAAAGCAGTCAGGGGAGGGCTCCCCCTGAGGCTCACACCCCCAGCCCTGGCCAGGCCCACACAGACCCTCACTCACCATTCTGGGGCCCCGGCTGCCACCCGTGCGTTCGCTGCTCCCAGAACCGCGTTCAGTTTCCTCCAGCCTCAAGTCTAAAGTCTGCCAAGCTGGGTGGAGGCCCGGGTAATAAATGCTCGGCTGCCATGGAGACCGGGCCCGACGCCACCAGGGTCAGATTCCAGCTTCCTGAGCACAGCTCAGGACCCGCCACCCGGGCAGGTTGGATTTTTGAGGAAACGGGGCTGCGGAAGGCTCTCCCAGGGCTCAGAGTCTCCGCCTCCAGAAGCCGCAGCAAAGGCACAAATGCCAGTTTCTTCCTGGGAGCCCCGGACTTCAGGAAGGGGTCTTTTCTCTTCTGGGACTCAGCGGGGACACCATCAAGCCCCGACTAGAGTTGGACACTTTACACCCTGGGTCGTACTGAAGGCTCCTCACACACCATCTTGGAGGAGGAAGGGAACCCTTCCAAGACGGCCCAACTCAGAGATGGGCACCAAGGCGCGCAGGCTTGGGGCGCGCAGGCTTGGGGCTCCGTACTGCAGGGACACAAGCTTCGGTGCTCTCAGGCTGGGATTCAGTCCTCCCCGCCTGCTGACTTGCTGAGTGACTGGCAAGTCACTCTACCTCAGTGTGTGCCTCAGTTTCCTCACCAGCTGAATGACAGGGCCGTTGGCGAAATCAAGTGGCTAGCGCACAGCCGGTTCCCAGCCTGTGCCAGTTCACCTCCCGCCTTCTGGGGACTTTACAGGTCGGGGAGGGGCCTGGGCTGGGTCTCCAGGCCCACTGCAGGCTCCTCGGGGGCTTGGAGTGAGGCCTCTTAGTGCCAGTTGCCCTGGCCAGGAAAGCTCCCCTTTTCTTCCTTCCTGTCCTCTCTCCACCCTCAGCCCCACCCCTTCCGCAGAAGCTGCTGATGCTCCCAAGTCCTCAGGGCTTCGTGCTGCTCCCCTCCCCCCCATAGGAGGAAATGGGGGCAGGGTGTGAGGCTTCCCTGGCTTCTTCCCCTTGAGATCCCATTTCCCTGTTTGGGGCGTGAGGTTTTTGTCCACAGCTGAGTCTATGGGGCTCTACACCCAGGGTCCGGCCCACAAGTAGGTGTGGCCGCACAGGTGTGCCCTACACAAAGGCCCCCAACCCAGGTGCGAGGGGTTGCTGGCCAGGGGCTGCACTGCCCATAGGAAGGGGCGCATCGTGCCAGTTTGCACACAGGCACAGGGACAGGAGGGGCTGCCTGTCCCCCATTCTCCCCTCCCCTCTCCTTTCCTGACTGCCTGTGTGGAAAGGGTGCTTTTCCCCCAGATCACATCCCCAGAGTCGCCTCTTTACACCTGTTTCTAGACCCACAGAATTTTAGCTGGGGACTCGACTCCTCCCTGTCAGAGTTGGAGGCCCCTGCTCCCTTACCCCGGGGCAGGGATAGAGGAAAGGCTGCCTCTGTGCAGAGGATGGAGAGAAGGACGTTAAGGAGTCACCTGGGCTCTGGAAGCCTGCAGGTGGCCAGGCCAACACGCTCCCACCGAATCCCTCCGCCTGTGGGAAGGTGCTCCAGGAGAGATGAGGTGGCTCCTCGGAGTTAGGCCAGTGTGTGCTGGGGTGCCTTGGCCAACTCCCTCCTCACGTGTGTAGGTGTCCCCAGGGGATGCGGCACAGATGGAAAACACCGGCATGGGGCAATGGCTGCGTGGGGGTTCACGATACGGCAACTCACCACGCTGTGGGGCGCACCGCGTGTGCTACACCTCAGCACAAAAGGGAGAAAAGACAAAAACACTTCCAACACCAACTGCAGCTGTGACTGTTTGCTTTATTCTTGAATCCCGGGTCCCCGTGGCTGGGGGTCCCTTCCCATCCCTGGGCACCACCGTGACTTCCTGTGGGTCCCTTCCCTTCTGTCCCCGACTCTGTAGACCCCCCCATGGGAGGGGTCCTAGGTAGGGGAGGCTCCTCCTCCCTCCAAACCAGGGGTCATGCTGTCAAGGCAAAGCCTCTGGACCCAGCACCTTGTAAAGGCTTTGATGAGAGGAGCTCCAGCTTTTGCTCAGGGCCTTTGGCCCCACCACCCAGGAATGCAGGCCCTCAAAGCCTGTGGCCACAGTTCTTCTGGAGTGGGAGCAGGGGGACAGAGCTTTGGGTAGAGGAGGGTCGCCTGGAGAGCTGGAATGCCAGGGGAGTTGGCGGCGCCTCTGGCTCCTGGGGGCCAGGCTGGCTCCTCACCTCATGGGCCTGAGCCTGGGCGGGGTCTGGAGTGCACATAGCCCCTAGGCAGGGAGAGAGCAGTGACAGGACCGAGCCACTCATCTGTCCCAAAGCTGCCCCCAAGGGGTATCAGCAACCCCAACCCACTGACCTACTTTGGGACCACAGGCCCATCTAGTGCAAATGAGGTCCAGACAGGAGAAATGCTTTACTCAACAGCCACAGAGGCTGACGTAACCTATGTAACGTAGGGTCAGGGTGGGCCTGAGGGATGAGCCAGGTGGTGGGTGGGCGACACACCAGGTCCCCTCCTGGCCTCTGCCCCACCCAGCCCTCTCCTGCACAGCTACCAGAAGAACAGACCAGCCCCAGCAGGGAGAGTGTGGTCAGGTGCAGAGGAGGGCAGGGGCCCGGATCCTGGCCCAGAAACACTCTAAAACAGAATCCGATCCTGAGATGATCCAAATCAAACAGAAACTTGACGGAAATAGTAGAGTCTGAAAATGATGCACTCTACACACACATATACAAGACACACACGACACACACACAAGACACACACACACATGAATCCACACACAAATCCACGCACATGAATCCACGCACACAAGGCACACCCCACTCATGCTCTCGGTCTCCGGTTACACACCCACACCACACCCCCTACCCCTGTATTCAGACGCCCTCTATGGCCCACCTCCCACCCAGCAGAGCGCCACAGCCTGGTGCCAGGGACTCAGTGCCGACTGCTGACGTGAAGGGTGTAGAAAGCCCAGGGCTCAGGGACGTAGATGACACCCGGGTACTTCCTCCTGAGAACAGGGTCATTCCACAGCCAGGCGACCCAGAGCGCCACCAGCAAGAGGGTCAGTGTGAAGGAGGAGAAGAGGAAAAGGCCGTTGCTGTCCAGGAAGAGGCGCTTGCGCTTCTGGTGCAGGACGAGGGCCAGCATGGCAAAGAAGGTGAAGATGAAGAGGATGAAGATCTGGCCCTCGGTGACCAGGTACCTGGGAAGGCCAGGGGGGAGTGAGGCAGCTGCTGTGGCAACCCCATCCTGCCTGGCATCCCTCCCTGCGCGCGAGAGCCAGGCTGCCCTCCAGGCAGGCAGGAGCATCCTCTGGTGCCAGGGCTCAGTGAACCCTGCCGCTCTAAGCCACAGCCCACGGGCAGCATACTGATGGAGCTGGTATACTTACTGGGTTTTAGATGTGGATTTTGTTGCCAATATTTAAATAACAGAATACCTACAAATGTATATTTCTGGCTTCTCTGGTCACATTAAGTTTGTATTTCCACACAACAAAACCTGACTAGAGGAGAAAGCAACAAACAATTGCCACGACAACGGCAGCGGCCCCCGCGGCAGGACGCCGGGGTGAGGACCCGCAGGAAGCGCTCCGCTAACATCTTTCCTGCTCACTGCGGCTGCCACCCACTCTTTTTAATCCCCAGAGAGCGCACAGATGAGCCCCAGAGGGTCATCTCAGCCACACAGGCGACAGGCCGGGGAGACGGTCTAGAGCTGGCCCAGGAAAGGAGGCCCTTTTCGTTTTGAGGGAGGCCTCCCATCAGAGAAGGGCCCAGTCCTGCCCCCACCCTGTCCTTCCCATGACACCCACAATCCCAGGGTGACCTGTCTCCAGGGCAGAAGTGACAGAGGAGGGCTGGGAGACTGGCTGAGGCCAGAGTCCTCTGCGATGGGAAGAAGAGAGAGCCAGAGGGGACAAAGACCCCAGACCAGGTGCCCCTACGCCATCAAACCCCTCAGTCTGTCTTTGGCCTCACCATAGTGCTTTACATTTGACAAAGCCCCTCTCTGTCCTCAGCATCCTCATCATCCGAGAGGTAGACAGGCAGGTACTATCATTCCCATTTCACAGAGGCGGAACCCGCAGCCCACCACAGGGCTTGGCGTCGGAGGTGGATTGTGCCGGCCCCAGGGCAACACTGGGGTTCTTGAGATGGGGCACACAGTGAGAGGGGCTTGAGGATGGAGAGAGACTGTGCAACCTCGCCCTCTCCTCCCACCTCCCTGCCATACCCAGGCCTGGGTTTCATGGAAACAAAGAGGCCACCACAGGGCATTGTCACAGTCCCCACTAGACACAAGAGGAAGCAGGGGCTCAGAGAGGGCCAGTCTCCCCAGGGCCACACAACAGGTCCATGGGCAAGTACAGAATTTTGCTTCCGTGGCTCACTCCGTGCCCCTGCCTCTGCCCCCATGCTGATGTCTACTCACCAGTAGTACAGGCCACTGGGCGCCACCAGGAGCAGGGCAGGCCCTGGCATCCACCTCTCAGCTTTACAGGCAGTAAAGCAGCCGCTGAAGTACATGAAGAGGATGAGGAAGAAGGGGATGTACCTAGGACAGGAAGGCCAGTGCCTTAGAGGCCTGCTCAGCAGTCCCCATCCCCACCACCTCTGCACCCGCTCCCACGGGGTCCCACGGAGTGCCACGTCATGGTTTACAAAACGCCTAGCCTGGGTGAGAGGCGCTCCTCTCCACCCGACCTTGCTTGTGCTGGGCGTTAAAGATGGGACAGAAACAGAAACAGGAAGGCAAGGCACGTGTGAGTCAGAGGCCCAGAGGCATCCATACTGCCCAGGGCACCTCACTCACTCCGTGGGGGTGGGGGGCGTCTGGGGGGTTGTCTGTCTCATGCACCGCAGACGCCAGCAGCCCAGCCCCACACTAGCCTGGAGACAGAGGCACGTCCCGGGCTGAGGATGGAGGTCCACATGTTAAAAAAGAGAACAGCACCTGCGGGGGCCTCTCGGTGAAGCGCTGCACCCACACTCAGCACACAGCCACACCCCCACCTCAGACACCTCACCCCAAAATACCACCCTCTCCCCTCTCCACACACTGGCTCCCTTTCTCCCACCTGTGCTGACTTGCACCAGTATACCCGCCTGCCTCTTCTCACCCACACCCGCTTCCTGCTGGCGCTCCAGCTCTCTGCTCCTGGCCCCTCCACCCTTTCCCAACCTTCTGTGGGAAGAGGCTCTGGCAAAGGACAGGGAAACATGGCAGGAGGCCTGTCCAGGGACCCTGGACCAGCTGAGCCAGGAGGATTGACATCGCAGAGCCCGAAACAACCTGGAAACACCCGTGCAAGGTGCATGTGCCGTGAGCGCCAACTCAGGAGTGAGCCGGGTCCAGGGCTGGCCCTCACCTCCCAGCTGCGCTGCCGCCCTTGGAGCCCTCCGAGCCCTCCTCCCGCTGGCCTCAGCTTCTCCTGGGTAAGATGGGAGGCTGGAACAGATGAAGCCTCCCAGCCTGGGCCCGGGATCTCCTGAGGCTGAGACCACATTTCTGAGGTCTCCCCCTGGGAATTCTGAAGAGGTGGGAGCGCAAACAGCACGCCCCTCCCCAGTCTGATCCAGCTGACTTCCTGCAGCTTCCTCCACTCCCAAAGAGCAGGCCTGACACCGGTGGGGGTCCCTGGCTCCGCCCCCACCCTCCACATTACCATCTGGGGGTTGTTTATCAGGGACGTGTCCTCCTCCCCCACCTTCAGGGCTCAGGCTTGTTGAGGGAGGACCAAAGCCGCTCGCTGCCCTCTGCTGGCCACTGCGGGCACTGAGGGCTGGGCGGGGGCGGCGATGCTGGCGGGAAGCTGGGGCCCCGGGCCTGGGACAGCTGTTGGGTCTCCCGGGCAACCTTGGGGACAACCTCACCGGAGGTTGAGCTCACAGTGCCTTTACAGGGGATGAGACTCAACACATGGAGACCTGCGGCCCAGACAGCCTTGCTCAGTGTGTCCCTGAGGCCAGTGACGAAGCTAGCCGGTGGTCGGGGCCCCTGGGATAGACAGATGGGCCCATCACTCACCACATGCAGTGACCCAGGTACTCATCATAATAGTACAGCAGCTCAAAGGAGTCGATCTGAGGGAGGCACGGGCAGGGCAGTGTCGGGGGGATGTCGATGTCAGTCCAGGGAGGTGCTGGGGCCCCAAGCATCCCCTCTGACCAC